TCAGTTGATGTCTCAAGACCACTTTCTCCATCGAGGTGTACTCTTCGTGAGGGTTGACCAACATCATCAATGTCGTTGAAATCATTGACTCCGATTTGAGGATGTATCAATAGGTCATGGATCTTTGAAGCATGATGACATTCATGAGGAGTGCATTCGTAAGTTCCAAGATCAACGTAGGGGATGTTGTCATGGATTGTCAAATCGATGCGTTCTCCATTCTTCGTAATCATGAAAGGCATTTGACCAGATGGCCATACAAAGGAATATCCTTCTTCCATGCATCGTTTCCCAAGAGACATCACGGACGGAGTGTCGTCCAGTACATAGGCATGAGAGGTCACATCAAAGGTTCCCAGGTCAATCTCTGCTTCTGTCTGAGTAGCAGTTGAACCGTTGGCTGTGTGGAACATGATAGGATCACAAGTTCGCTGCTTCAAGTTCATCCTTTCGGCTTTCCTTGCAGAAATCAGATCATGCCCGCTGCCAGAATCCAGGATGAATCTACGATCTTTGGCTTGCACTGGTAGTGAAATGCACATTATGTTCTTGGACTTCATGAGGGAGTTTCCAACTTCGTGTTCAACAAGCTCTTCAATAAAAGTCAAGTCATCACGATCATTGTCCAGTTTGATCAACATGTCGAACTTGGGGCCAATAATGATTCTAACTTCATCAACAAAACGATGGAGTCCACATCTGTCCATGATGATAGCCTTGGCCCGTGCTCGGACTGAACCGAGGGTGTTGTCGGACTTGGACTGATCGTCGGTCAAATCATCGACTTTCCAGAAAACATATTGCTTGTTGGGGTCACGATACATACGTTTGGGTAGTCCCTCCTGGTAGTCCTCAATGTCGATCTCGTGCACCTCAGGTTCCAGATCAAATGAGATCCTGCGATCATCAGAAGACTTCTTTGCGCTGGCTATCCTCGGTGAGGTATAATCCATAGAATCTTCATTGTCGCTATCAAAGAAGGAATCAATGGTAATGGGAGTCGCCTTCTTCTTTGGTGTCTTCTTGCTGGTTCTCTCTGAGGATGCTGAGGGCGATTTATCTGCATGTAGGAATTTACATTTGTTTCCGAACTTGCAGGTACCTTCTTGCCAATTCCAACATACCTTCTTTTTGGGTCCAGCTGAAGATGAACTTCCTCTACCTTTCCCTCTTGATGAATCTCTACTTCCGCTTCTGCCTTTCTTACCTTTCATCTTGGCATCATAGACCTTCTGAGAATGACTGTAAAGACATTTGTCACCTTTGTTGCATCCTCCTTTATTGAAGAAGTAGTTACAGAAAATCTTCTTCTTGTCAACGGGTGAAGATGATCTTCCCTTCCCACCTTTGCCTTTCTTGTTGTTCTTGTCGGCATGGGATTTCGGAGAAGGTGTAGGAAGTACCGATGCAGCTTCACTCTTCGCTTTCGCCTTAGGGACGTTTGGGAGGATCACCTGTAGACGATGCGGCCGCTTCATTCTCCTTCTTGGTCTTGACGGGAGCGGCAGGCTTGTCTGCATCTTCTAAGGCAGGTGTCGTCTTGTTAGAGGACAATGACAGTTTCACTGCACGTTCTCTATCTTTCAACAGTCGTTCTTGCTTCCCTCGTGCTATGTATCCCTTGATCATACCAGTTAGGTAAGCATAGGTCTTCTCATGATGCCCTTCATCAAAGGTTTTGTATCGGTTGATATCGAAGGCCATAAGTTTTGAATGTTCAATCTTCCGGAACAATGTGTCACGCAGGGAATTGTTGGAAGGCAGATCATCATGTTTCATATTGTATACGATGTCAAGCCACTTGTTGTAGAAGGCCTCAAGTTGGTCATCTCCATAGTAGTTGAACATATACAAATGATGGGCATTGTAGAGAACTTCAGTGTGGTCAGGTGACTTGAAGCTAATCAATATCATTGCAAATAGTTCTCGTCCCTTGATGAAGTCCCCACTTCTCCCATACAATTGGTTCTTCATGGACATGTCATACTTCACTTGCATGGACTTGTCCCCAGCATTGTCAATGACTTTCCTCAAGGCATTGGAGAGCTTGGCATCAATGGATTGGAATCTCACATCAGGAGCTTTGGCCAGCGCCTCCAAGTCAGGTTGATCTGCAAGACACGGAGCTAACCACGCCTTCCAATCTTCATAGTTTCGATCTCCACTTGCAACGCAAACTTCATGAACGACACTTCCCTTCCAGGATGAAAGTTCAGTGGTCTTAGGCCAGGGTTGGAGACTGATCTTTTCGGCTTCTCTTAGAGATACGGATGACTTGGATCTATCCCTTTCAAGGTTCTCCAACTCCTTGACATTGGTGTTGTACTCGTTCCTGAGCTTCTCGAAGGCTTCAGCTTCTGCTCGGTATTCCTGCTCTTCATCATTGGCACGATCTTCAGCTTGAGAGAAATTGTTCTTATAGTAATCTTTACGATCTTCCATCTTCTTCAACTCATCTTGAAGATTTCGAACTTCAGCGTTCCTCTCTTGCTTCATCTCGTCCAACTCTGCTTTCAGTTTGGCACACTTCTCTTCACATTCATTCCGAGGCATGGCATTACTGGGGTACCCATGTAATGTAGTCGGTCTATTCATTGATGAAGAAGAATGAGCTTGGTTTTCCAACTTCAGGGCAGCAATGGTGCTCGACATTTCTTCTACCTCAGCGTAACGCTCATTGGCCAATTGATGCATCTCGGTCAAATGGCTTTCAGGAATGGAATAGTCAGTCGCACCTTTGATCACGAGTCTTCTGTCGTTCAACATCTTGATGGACTTACCTGCATCCCTGTGAGCACGCTCAAGAGAGTCCTTTTGGGCTTCAAGTTCAGTATGAAGGCGAGCAATAGCTGTATCCCTGTCATTGAGTTCATTGTGCAAACTGTCAAACAAGGTACTCGTCACATTCGGATTGTTGCTCATGTGATCGATCTTGTTCAGAGCATCTTGATATTTCTTACCAGTTTCATCAAAGTTTCGCTGGAAGACTTTGAGCAGGTCCTCAGTGTCAATGAGTTCAGATCTATTCTGCAAGTACAATTTGTCAACCTCAGCCTTGGATTCCTTCAAGCTGTCACACTCACGCACGGCTTGCATGTACATCTCGTATAGAGGTCCTCCATGCGGTGATCTGCTTGGTGAAGATCTTCTGGCTTGTTGACAGGAAAGTTCATGATACTGATTCTTCGATTCAGTCAGTTGCTGTTGCATTCGATCTAAAAGACTTTGTTTCATGTGTAGTTCAGAACGTAGTCCCATTATCCTCATGTCCCGCATGCCGCCTGATTCAGCTAGAGATTCTTCAGAAACCCTGTTCTCAGAAATCGCTAGTCGAGATTGTAAGTTCTCACTGTGGATCACCTGTAATCGAAGCTGTGATTCTTCCAAAGCTAAGTGATGTTCACATTCTGCATAACGGTCATGTTCAGATCTTATGTTACTACGGAACTCCTTCATGATCTCGTCCCTCTTCATGTCAGCAGCATCTAACTCAGTTTCCAGTCGCCTGACATTCATGGCCATGGTGTGCTTCATCGTCTGGTTCTGATTGGCAACCTCGAGCATCTCGATCTGCAAAGCACATGTTTGGTCATTAGCATAGCCGACTGCTAGAGCTTCTTGCTTGGCATTCATCTCTGCGTTTTCCAGTTCCAGTCTGTGTTGATTGATGTGAGCATTCGAGTCAGTTCCCACATGTACCATAATTGCGTTTGCTTGTCCCATTTGTTCATCGAATTCCGAACGTAGTCGTGAATATTTGAATTCCAAATGAGATGCAGCTTCATTCGACATAGTCTGATACCTTTCCAACTCTTCGATCCTGTAGGTCGCACCTTCATCTTCCTGTTGTGCAGCCTGTAATTCGAAGTTCAGCATCTGGAGTTGTTCGGTCATCGACATCATCTCTTGATGAGTGGTGCTTTCTAGGAAATTAAATTGTTGATAGGCATATGCTGTCGTCTCACTCAATCTTGCCTGAAGTACAGATTCTTCTTCAGTGGCCCTTTCCAGTGATGTTTTGTACTCAGCTAATTCACTCTGATAGGCAGTGAAGATGTCGCTACCACTTGACGGGGCATTCACTTGCTGATAAGATCCTGTCCCTGATGGAGTAGCGTCCTGAATCGGTGAAGGCGGATTCGAAGACGTAGTCTTTGCCTTAGTCCTTGGAGTCATCGGAGGCGACAATTGTCGTGCAGATGATCTTCTCTTTCCAGGTGTGCTGTCCCTATCTTCAATTGCTTGCATTGTCGAAATTTGTCTCCCTCTAGGAGCAACCAGATGTCGCCTGGGTTGGCTTGTTCTCAGTTCTGAGGCATCGCTTCCACCAGTGTCGATACTCTGTGAAGAATTTGACTGCGTGCCGGCAGCTGGTGCAACGGCATGTCCAGAGAAAGAAAATGCATTATCGCTGCTATCCTGTTCAGTCATCTGTAAGGCCCGCGGCTCCCCGCTCGTAGGCTCCGTAGGAGTCCTACGGCTGATAACCTGCGAATCGGGGATTGTCTGCCCGATTATAATCCAGTAATTGATGTTGATGTTTGTTGTTCCAGTAATGACTTCACAAAGACGACAGCTTCCGCATGGCGTTCCTTTTCCCTGTTGCTGCAGTGGGTCTTGAGCCAAAAGGGCGATTGTCATACCCTTTGGCTGTGGGTCTTAGAGTGATGAATTATGTGATATTGTACTTTGGTCCGTAGCTTACACTCTATTCGCAGGGGTTGGCACATGTCACCATTTATCAAGCCCTATATATATAATTGTATATATATATATGTATATATGTATAATTATTTATGTACATAAATTATATATATTATATTTATATACATATATCATAATCCAATGTGTTCAGGTTTATCACCATCTCCACCATCTATTTGGATCTATAATGGCTTTATATATCTGGATGTATAGAATCTACAAACGGATCAGAAGTGGATCATAATGGATCTATCTATTTGGGACCCTCAGAGAAACCCGGGAAACCCCCCGGGTTTCCTCGTCGCAACTGTGGCGTCGCTCCTTTTCCCAGCGCAGCTCCGAGCGGAGCCGCGCCACCAGGGTCTGGTAGGCCAGGACCTGGCCCAGCATTTTGGCCGGTGGGATTTCCATGGATTCATTTCCTGCATTCCTCAGGATTTTCTATGAAGTTCCATGATTTTCATTGACTTTCCATGGTGTTCAGCCTGAATTTTTCTATGAAGTTCCATAATTTGATCGATGATGTGCAATTTTTCAGGGTGTTCCGTGAATCTTCCGTGATTTTTCCATGTTGCTTCCCCAAAAGGCCAGCGCTGGCCTCATCAAGCCCACCTGGGAGGTCCTCTCTCTCATCTGCGGCTTCGGACAGAGCCTAGCTATGGGCAGAGTTGAGTTCCGTGAAAATTGTGGGCTTTAACTGGTTGATGCACCAATCTTTTCTATGACGGCTATGACAAAACCCATACAAAACCGAAGTGTGGTAGATCAACCAAAGGTGAAGCAGCCAAATATCAGAACAGTTTCACCGGTTCACCATCTGCACTCAGCAAATCTCTGCGAGTGCTACATCAGATCACTGCAAAGTCCAAGAAGAAGCCAACCTTGGCAGCTTTCGCCTCGAGCTCTCCGGTTACTTTGGCCTTACAGAGCTGCTCGTCCAACTTCGCAGTGCAAGGGCTGCAGTGAAATTGCGTCCGGAATCCAAAAAAGCGCCATATCATCCAAAGGTGAACTCCTCCTTTGGACTCCGATTTTGATTTCCATCCGACAATACCTGAATTTTTTTGGGGGAGTTTGAACATGTTTCAGCAACCGGCAACCTTGAGTCCTCCGGCCGCGTGTATGAGCTGCTGAAGCTGGGAGTGAAGCTGACGCAAATGCAAGCGATCTTCCTGGGATGCTCCCAAAATTCCACCAAATTTGGTCTGTTTCAGTTGACCCATGATCTTGGTTATAAACGATATGCAACCCGCAACCCATGTTTTGCAGATATGTGGAAACATCCAAAATATCCCATTGCCTCCACTTGGTTGGGCTCAGCTTGCTGTCTCGCTTTTGCCGCCGCAGCGGCTTCTGCCTGAGACATCCATGATGTGACTCTGAAGGACAAGCACTGAAGCACAGACAACGTAGGTAACTACAATTTGTTGATGATATTGTTGTATGATACTGTATGTTTTTTGCATAGTACCAGATAGTAACTATAGATACTTGATGATAAATGAGGACTTTTGGCTATTGCATGAGATATATGAGATTGCAATCATGATAATCATTGCATGACATGTCTCAATAGGTGCGCTTTGGCGCCTCAGTCAGGCGTGCTGCCTCGGCTTCCCCTTGAGCAGCAAGGGTTTGACAGCCTCGGGGCTTCAGTTGGTTTCAGCTTTCAACACACGAGATGTCTCTCATCGTTCAACTGAGAAATGTCGGAGATTTGAAAGCTGTGAACAAGAACGAAACTGCCAATATATCCCAATGCGTCGCAATATCTTATGAGCTGAGGCGCGCAGTTTATCGCAAGCTGCAACCCACTCGTCTCCTCAGAAGAGGAAAGTCAGAAGGTATCTTCCTTTCAAATGATGCACGGGCAAATTGATGGAAGCTAGTTATTTCGCTCCAATGCCCCATAAATTCATCGGGACTTATTGAAATCGCACGGATCCTAACAATATCCCACAATACTTCACGAAAGACTTCCTGCTGCAAGTATTTCACTTATATACTATGCATCGGCGTTTTCTGAGATATCTGAAATCACGGCAAGGTCATTGTGCCGAGGAGCGTTCACGCTGCCAGACAGCCTGTAAATCTAGAAATGCTTCTTGTCCGAGATGTACAGGCTCCGTGGCAACTCTTCTTGCCTGACAGCTAGATGAAAACAAGTCCAGCAGTGTCTGAGCCTCCTGGCTTGTTGCTGGGTCCCAAGAGAATCGAGACTCAGTCAACAGAAGTTTCCTGGGTTCTCTATCAGTTCTACTGGTTGGCAAAAGGATTCCCAGTTCAAGGGGTGCTCCATGTTTCCTACTGAATCTGTTTGTAAAATCCCTCGAACCAGAATGGAGAGTTTCACATTGCATCGCACGTCACAACCATTTCCTCACAGCCATCCCGTAACCAATGATTCAAAAAAACAGGCAATTGGTTTTGAAAATTTGGGCACACATCCCGCAAGTAATGAATGAACCAGGAGACAAAACTACGTTCATGAAAGCGACCTTCGGAACAGTTTTTATTTGTGACTTTGCATTGCCGCATGGTCCGCATCCGTGCATGCATCCTAGTTTTGAAAGTTCGTCCGGAAAGTTCATCCGGTGAAACAACAAACTGTTCGTCATTTGCATTTTCCTCCGAGAACTTACAGTACAATATATTGTAAGTTCTCGGAAGAATTGAAAGGCCACCTGTATTCGCCGGTCGGTTTGGGTTTTTCCACTACATTACACTACATTACACTACATTACACTACATTACACTACATTACACTGCATTACACTACATTACACTACATTACACTACATTACACTACGATATGTACACTGAATTTCACTACATTACACTAAATTACACTACATTACGCTACATTGCATTGCAGTGCTTTGAGTTGCATTGAGTTGCATTACGTTACACTACATTGCGATGCGTTACCCAGCAAAACATTGCATCGCATTGCAGTTCAAGTGAAATTGCAGTGCATTGCGTTCATTATACATGACATGACTAAAATACATTAAGACCTTAATGCATCAATACATATTAATACCGTAATACATTATTACATTGAAACATTGACTAATACGTTAAATCATACAGTATTCTATATATATATGTTTAGAATAAACAAAAATATACACCCATATTATATACTGTACATGAATGTACATGGACAATAGCTATGTCAGCTATGTGTACAATAACAAAATATATAAGATGTATGCATCGACATTTGCATAATATGTACATCTGCAAAATGGCAAGCAGGAGCCTCGCTCAGCTTCACACGCAAAGACTGCAACTCCTGTCGCCAATGGGTCGCCCATCGGATGTGGGTACAGCAGAGCTGAAACTGGCAAATTCCCAAATTCCCACAAAACTGGATGGTTTGTGAATGTCTATGGTTTCTAGCTCAAAATCAGCCGGCCTGCCGGCGTGTCTTGTTCGTAGTTGTACTGTTTGTTTGTGTCTTTGTCTAGACTTTCCCCTTGGCGCGGATTTTTGCCTCATCTAACTTGAACCCCCCCGTGCTGGGCTCGACTCTGCCCTGGTTTTGCACATTTTGTTGGCATTTTTCGATGGTTGTTTCTGTCTTTTTTGTTGTGTTTGCCATCGGTTTACTCCGTCGCTTCTTATATCTAATACTTGATCCACTGGCTTTTGCGCCGAACACCTTTTACACGCGTTACCTGTTTAATATGGCCTTTTCCAAATCCTGGTTTACACACATGCTTCGGTTTAAACCTAAACCGTGGTTTGAACAAAAGCCATGTTTTTGGCTATTGCATGAGATATATGAGATTGCAATCATGATAATCATTGCATGACATGTCTCAATAGGTGCGCTTTGGCGCCTCAGTCAGGCGTGCTGCCTCGGCTTCCCCTTGAGCAGCAAGGGTTTGACAGCCTCGGGGCTTCAGTTGGTTTCAGCTTTCAACAAACGAGATGTCTCTCATCGTTCAACTGAGGAATGTCGGAGATGTGAAAGCTGTGAACAAGAAAGAAACTGCCAATATATCCCAATACGTCGCAATATCTTCTGAGCTGAGGCGCGCAGTTTATCGCAAGTTGCAACCCACTCGTCTCCTCAGAAGAGGAAAGTCAGAAGGTATCTTCCTTTCAAATGATGCACGGGCAAATTGATGGAAGCTAGTTATTTCGCTCCAATGCCCCATAAATTCATCGGGACTTATTGAAATCGCACGGATCCTAACAATATCCCACAATACTTCAAGAAAGACTTCCTGCTGCAAGTATTTCACTTATATACTATGCATCGGCGTTTTCTGAGATATCTGAAATCACGGCAAGGTCATTGTGCCGAGGAGCGTTCACGCTGCCAGGCAGCCTGTAAATCTAGAAATGCTTCTTGTCCGAGATGTACAGGCTCCGTGGCAACTCTTCTTGCCTGACAGCTAGATGAAAACAAGTCCAGCAGTGTCTGAGCCTCCTGGCTTGTTGCTGGGTCCCAAGAGAATCGAGACTCAGTCAACGGAAATTTCTTCCTCTCTATACATGAAGCTGACTTTCGGAATGGTGTCAGACCAAGGATGAGCCAATGTAATTTGAGAGCCAAGTTGAAGTTGCCACTAATGATATCTCATGATCATCATTAATCACCATTAATCATCATTAATTATCACTACTGCCCTGCGCGCTTTTCACTTCTCACTCCTCAAACGCTTGATCTCAGGCTCACCGTTCGGACCTGTCGACACGTCCAACCAGAACCACGAGGCCACCCATGCACATGCGACAATTCTGCCACGCAAATCATCACATGCGTTTTCCCGAATTCCATCTCTCAAATGTGTCAAATAGTTTCAAAATATGCCAAACATTGCCAAACTATCTATCTATCTATCTGTCTGTCTATCTATCTATCTATCTGTCTGTCTGTCTATCTATCTGTCTATCTATCTATCTATCTATCTATCTTGTCTGTCTATCTATCTGTCTATATATGTGTCTATCTATCTATCTGTCTATCTATCTATCTATCTGTCTATCTGTCTATCTGTCTATCTGTCTATCTGTCTATCTGTCTATCTGTCTATCTGTCTATCTGTCTATCTATCTATCTATCTATCTATCTATCTATCTATCTATCTTCCTATCTATCTTATCCTATCTATCCGATCTATCTATCTATCTATCTATCTATCTATCTATCTATCTATCTATCTATCTATCTATCTATCTATCTATCTATCTTGTCTGTCTATCTATCTGTCTATCTATCTATCTGTCTATCTATCTATCTATCTGTCTATCTGTCTATCTGTCTATCTGTCTATCTGTCTATCTGTCTATCTGGCTATCTGTCTATCTATCTATCTATCTGTCTATCTGTCTGTCTGTCTGTCTATCTATCTATCTATCTATCTTATCCTATTTATCTATCTATCTATCTATCTATCGATTTATCGGTCGATCTATCTAATATATCATATACTACAGCTATTTAATTTTATAGTATATAATGTATATAATATTTCAAGAAATAACATAATATTATATATGTAGTGTATAAAATGTAATATATAATCAATAATATTCAATATATCATATATGTAATATGTAGTATGCAATATGCAACATATAATATATATATATAATATCATTTATATATAGTATATAATCTAATAATATTTATATATATATACACATTCTTCACCATTCCCTAACTTCCACCATCCACAACATCCGGGATCCACTTGGCTGACAACTGCCGCCCCAGTCCACCTGGCAACGAAGCCGCTGGACCATCAGCTGCAGTGTGCAGCACCTCCAACAGAGCCGGGCTGTCAGCCACCGCACCTCAGCCACCGAAGTGCGTATGTCTACAAGTCGCAAATCTCTGGATTATCTACCTACTGTTACTAGACAGAATATCTACCTCTCAAACACATCTTTCAAATCTTCCTATGGATCACTATGGTACCTGCTTGTGAATTGTTGAGCCTAAAATCCAGCAAATAACAAATCAGTGCGTGGGGAAACACATGACATGGGCTGGTAGAATCAGTTAAACGCAAGCAATTTCGGACCATCTTAAGATCGGCACCGAAAACGCCGTGCTGCATTTTGATCTGTTTCAAGGCCTGATGCATCGCAGTAAACGTGCATCATGGATATCATGGATATCATGGTCACCTACCTTTATCTCAAATCTATTCAAATCTCTTGTCAGATTCAAAAAAATGCCAAATCTCCCACCAGCAGTTCTTGGGAATCGGGTTTAGGGCTCACAATAGTAGCGAAGCCCAAAGCAGCAATGACTTGCTCTGAAAAAGCATGGCCAAGGCACTGAAAAATATGTCTCTGGAAAAGCAGCTGCACTGCAGTTGGATAGAAGTAGGCATTCGTACCCTCGATCATTGGCTTGTCGCATAGTTGTGTGAACACCTACAAAGGCGAGCTTGCTGAGACGAACGTGTTTACTGATGTCAGGAAGTTATTTGGAATAGTTCCATAATGAATCATAATGTTCCATGATGAGTTTCTCATTGTTTGCAGACTGGGACCCATTCTTGGCAGGTCCGAAGCGGCCGAAACCAAGAGTACACACCTTGTAGGTGTGAGCCTAACACACAGCCAAGGCACAAACATCCGTTGCCACCCCGATGATCACTAGATTCCTCACACCCAAGGACTGCAGGTTGAGTTCCAGCGATGTCAAACTGAAAGCCCCAATCCTGACGGCTCGAATGGAATGCAGCTGCTGCAGCTCCCTTCATGCTGTTGATTTAGTTTGGTCTCCACCGTCTGAGGTGCGCACCCCGGCTTATCGACCACAGCTTCGCCCGGCAATGCTGCCAGTTGCGGCACAAAGTCCCAGCCTCTGTCTTGCAGACTCAGCTTTGCCATGCGGGGGAAAGCACATTGACATCAGTTTTGTCAGTTTCTGCTTTTGGTGTAAAGATCAGCTGCATCATCATGATTATCATGCATCATCATAACATGTCATAACTGGTTTAACTTGCAACTATCATCCACCTCATCCCCCGCTATTCCCACCATCCTCAGCCTGGATCACCTCGCACCAATCGCCCCAAGGGTCCAGGTTGTCGAGGCGTCTGCTCATTTCGCCATACCGCTCGTCTGCCAGGTTTTCTCTTAAAGTTCTGAAGCATGGGGGCATGACGTGTAGAGCACTGGGCCTACAGGCTTGCAGCATCCTGACTCTAGCATGTGCATAGATGATGGACCCTACAAGTACCAAGTACTGCACAATGAGTCACTCAAGCAACAACATGGTCAGTTGCTTTTGACAGCGCCGCTCGAACGAAACAGAAATTGGTAGGGGGATCTTCACCACATGTGTTTCAAATCTTGCCTGGAAGAATCGGAAAGATTCTCAGCGTGGCCAGTTCGAACGTGAAGCACCGGAAATCCTTTGCGTCTCATCATCTGCAGCACTTCTGCGGACTTATTCACAACCTCCTGACCAATGCTTGGTTTCATCAAGAGACGTGAGGGATGAACCATGCTTGAAATCATCCCCTTTTTAGACATGAAGCTGGGGGTGAAGCGGGCAAGTTGCAGGATCCATGTCAGAAACCAGAGGGAGTACACAGACTTCTGTCACATGCTGCCTACTTCTTAGGGTACTGGTTTTGTTTACCGGTATCCCTATGTTTCGAGAAATACGAGAAATGCTTTCCGTGTGAATTCTGCTCCTGCATGTCAGATTTTGCAAAGTCGCCATCAGGGTCCAGGATATTCGTCTGGAAGTTGATTGACAGCAGCGCAGTGTTGTCTGTTCTCAGCTGGCCGTCGAACGGCCACAGATACGGATCTGCCTGACCCAGCACCGAACAACATCCTGCAACATTCTGCAACACTCCTCTCAAACTGGCCCAAAGTAAGTCGCACCAAGAGAACCAAATGTTGTAGCACCACCCTGAAAAGAAGGACCTTCATGCATTTTCTTATATTTTCCTGCCCCATCCACCACACATAAGGCTCATGTGCCTTGACATAGCCCTCCACGGTCTTACTCTGCGGTGCCACCACGGTCTCTGCCAGCGATGTGGGCATCCGGCCCTGCGGCTTCGGCATCTTGACGCGAAGCCCATCTCCAAGGTCCACATCGCTAAGGGAAGCTTCGAGTGCGGCTGGCACCTGGGGGTGAAAATTGGGGTTGTATATTGGGAACCCTCAATATTGGGATACCTGCAGCCTCAGTTACTTCGAATATAGCCTCAGTTACCTCGAATATAACATAAATGAGAACACTTGACAGATGGGATTGAATCGGAATACCCTGGAAGTGCTTAAATATTCACAAAAAATATTCACCCATACCCAAATGTCCCTGAAAGACTCTTCCCATTTACGCCTCAACAAGTTGGAGGACATGCTCACACCTCCACACGGGTCGTGTGTTGCACGCATTACAGTACTGTCTTTTGCTGACCCCAAAAAAGAGCCTTCTCCCCAATCGCTTTCAGTAGGTCAGCAGCAGCTGCCACGCAGCCAAAGACACCTGACTTGTTTGGAAAAATCTTTGGGAAAGGACGACATGTTGTCAAAACATCTGCGACTCCAAAACTTGAAGGTTTCCTGTATATAGAGATTAACATAGATTAACTACATCTTCCCACCCATGAAGTGATCTATCTATCTTACTAGAGCTTGGAAGTCTCGCGGCCTCCGGCTTGTTGCATGGTCTTCAAGGTGGCCATGTAGTTCCCGTAGTCCGTGGCTGCTGTGCAGTCTGACAACAGTAAGCACTCATAGCCTCGGGTTGGGGGTCCGGCAACACAAGTGCCTGGGCCTAGTTTTTTCATGCCCTTCCTGGAATTGCATTGGAACAAGAATCATATTAGCTGACATAGCTGAATTTCGATGCATTTCGGGCCTTTTGGCTTCCGTGATAAGGTGTAGTAAAACATTGGTCCTTTCTCGTCCATGTCATTGCTACTGACACCAATCCAACTGAGTCTTGCACCAAGATCATTCGCCTCCCTCATGGTGGTGCCAACACAAACATCTGTGGTGATTCCAGTGAGAATCAGGTTCTTCACATTCTTCTGCTTGAGAATCAAATCCAAATCCGTCGCTACAAAAGAGCCTTTGCCAGGCTTGTCGATGACTTCCTGCTGAGAAGCCGCATGACATCGTGGTTTTATGAGACAAGTACAAATACCGTGAAGTACCCCACGCGGATAGGGACGCATTCTGACACTCTTGAATGTTTGACAGGAGAACTTCCAGTTCCATGGTGCTGCACTATCATGTCACAAGTTGAAGCACTCCTCATGGTCAGTCGGCTGCAACTCAGGAATCAGATTCCAGCCAGGTTCACCCCGCACCTGAAATGACGCTAAAGATGACTGGCCGAACACGGAAAAAATCAAGTCACACAAGTCTTTCTCTCCTAATACCGCCTCTGCTTTCCACCTCAACTCCACCCTTTGCCATACTCAAGCCTCCATCTGGGAACTGACTGCTTACATGGGGTTATAAACTCAATCAACTCGTAGTTGCCCCCCCATCTTGCAAGTTACAGCCCATTCTCCTGTGGCGCCACCCTTCCACGCTGTATGCAGTACCATGGCACCAGCACACGGCCGCAGGGGCCCGGGTCTCCTATGCCGGCGCCAATCTGTCGCGAGCGCCAGCGCTTGTTGGCGGGGCAGTCGGCCAAGGATGGCTTGTGGCCTCACAAGCAGCCTCAAGCGGCTGAAGCTAAAGCCCAGAACCACAAAAACCAAGAAACATCATCATCCTCATGATACATCATATATATATATATATAGCATATACATGTATATAATATACATTATATATATACGGTATCATGGTATGAAATGGATTGAAAAGGATTGAAAACGGTTTATACAATATTGGCAGTCAAATTGATGATCATCGCAACCGAAATGCACTGCGCGGCACTAAATGCAATCCAAGCCTCCTTCTCGTGTGTGGATAATGTGATACCCGAGTTTTCGGAAGGATTCAAACACCGACCGCAAAGGATCGATGGGTGCTCTTGTCATTGAGATGTCCTTGACTGGACAAAATAACAAGCAAGGGAGTGGAGGAGGACCACACACCATGTTCAAAGTATGAATGTCACTTATTACATCTTATCAATCATATCACAATGCGTCGCACATTTAACTAAGAAACGTATCCCATGCTGTCCACATAGCCCCCTTTGCCGCAGAAATCGGTTTGCATGTCAATAGCCAGCAAGGCTGTGTTCTCTGGACGGAGATCTCCATCAAATGGCCATGGGTAGGGCTGCGAAGGGACATGGACATGGCACTTCTTTGCCATGGCAGTTGACACAGCTCGAAGCTCAAGGCAACCATTCAACAAGTCTACTGCAGTCTACTGAGTCTACTGAGTCTACTGATTGTCATCATGACCCTGTATTCACACGAATTCAGATTGGAAGATCTTGGGTCCGTTGTGACTCCTGGTGTCAGCTTGGAGAAGCTGCGGCGGAAGCCATGCATCTCACATTAACACCTCAACTCACTTCTCTAGGAGATTGTGCTGATTGGGCTAAACTGTGACAACAAGACTCATTGTCGCAACATCCTGTGGAGCATTTGCATGAGATGAATCTATGTCAAAATGTCAATATCAAGCCAGAATGACCTTTGAAGCTTGCTCGTGAGCCAAAGTCCTCGAGCGCGCCCTCCACTCTTCGGCGTCCAGGGCACTTTGCGACGCTTTGTGGCGCACCTCTCGTTCCTCATGTTTTTTCCCTGGAACAACCTCCAAACGCTTCGCTACGTCTTGAAGCTGTGTGCAGGGCTCCTTCCACTTCCACAAGTCTGAATCAGCTTCAGGAAGTGCAACAGTGGCATTCGCCCGCAGTTTTCGCCAAGCATGGGCAGAACATCGCAAGGTGGCGCGATTGAACACAATGGCAAGCCGTGCTGCAGCTGCACAAGCTGCTAGCGAGGCTTTTGGGCATGAACTAGATGTTGCCCTTGTGGATGCTTCACTGAAGGGCGATCGCAAATGAAAATTGTTCTTCCAAGCATTTCCAGGTGGTGTTGAAGACGGAGACTTGACTTCAAGCAAGGGCTTTCTTGGCGTTCCCCACAAGACTTCATCCTCCGGTACCTACACAAACATCATCCAACACCCCAACTTGGCGACACAGTAGGGAGTTGTTCAAAAATGCGATTCGAGACCCGAACCCTTCCCCTCCTTTTGCCCCCATACCTAACCGTCCTAACTGTGAACACATGTTTGTGGATTGGTTTTCGTTGGATTTTTAAACTGTGAGCACCGTAAAAAATGAATTTCCGGGCCATTGTCCACTTGGCTATTTACCTTCTTGGCGCTCATAACGCGTCGGGTGGTTTCCTGACGTTCCATTTTCAAGGCAGTCTTGGTGGCATTTTGGGCATGGGTAATGGTTTTTCTGTTTGGGCGCTTGGCTTGAAGCCAAAAATTTCGAACCCGTTGTTTGAAGGCTGGTGCGACATTGCAAATTCAATTGGTTCCAGGTATGAACGCATTCACAGTTTCAAACCTTACATAATCATACGGGTTACGGGTATAATAAACCTTTAGCCAAACGTTTGGCCAAACCTTTCGCCGATTTTCGCGACCGCAGCAACTCATGCGTACATATTAGGAAGTTCATCAGATACGAAAAAGTGTTACATGCGTTTGGGGCCCAACAAATAACACCACTTTCGGTGGCCTGAGTCTTGATTGACACCGGCACCAGAAGTAGTCGGTCTTTGCCACCTGCAGCAAAGTCATGAAACGGTTCCCCAATTTCTGGCCTTTTCAGGGAAATCATGAGCCAGACACATCATTTGGAGGGGGGTTCTATACTTTTTCAATGGATTGGTGTTCGAACATCTTCATCAGAAACAATGGGGTGGTATTTTCCCATGAAATATCGGGTTTCCTATCAAATTTTCGAGTTGAGGCCTGCGTGTTTTGTCTGACGGGAAGACAATTCCTCCAAGGCAGGATGAGTACAGTGCGACAATCCACGCAGACTGACTGATTGTATGTACAGGAACATCACTGGAACATGCATTCTTCACAGCAGGACGACTTTAGATGATCCGATGTCCTCCTCTGATCACCGTGCCGCTTCCATTGAAAACCTCTGGTTTTCTTGCGTTTTCTTTTGTTGTCTTTTTCCCCTATGAGTACAAGTGTGTTTTCTGTAACAGGTGTTCCACATTTCCACCAAGGTATGGGCCAAAAGCTTTCAATTGTGGGAGGATTGTTTTTGCTCATTTGCTGGCTCCAAAGGTTTGTACAACCTTGAAGCTAATACAACTCTCTAAAAACTGTAAAAACGGTTCTTCTTAGATTATCTCGTTTTTCCTCTCGCTTCCTTTGGTTTCCTTTGGTTTGTTTTGGTTGGGGCTGAGTGGATTCTGCGGTGTTCCTTTGGTTTCCTTTGGTTTCCTTTGGTTTGGTTTGGTTTCCAAATGAGACACAAAGAAAATCCAAGGAGAAGAAAAACCAATCAAGGAAAGTCTAAGGAGGCTATAACCCAATAGAATGCATCAATCATGCCTGTTACTAAGGAGGCTGCTAGATATACACACATGCTACAATAGCATTTCCCAACGCCTAACGCGATGAAGCTCGAGTCATAGCCATAGAACTGTTGAAACGTGTCGCAACCCCTTTTCTTACGAATCTACGTACGGCCGCGACCAAAAATATGGTCCTTGGCCGTGAAGGACATCCCAGTCATGTCCTGCGGCTCTGCTGTCGGTCTTGTAGAGTTCAACCACAGCCTCGACAGCGCGTCAGAGGGAACAAAGGACTTCTGTTGATCAACTCATATCCAACAATCCTGCATGTCTGGTTAAGACTCGCTAAACTTCATAAAACTACTATGGGATTGTACAGGTCTGTATCTGAAATCACTGTGACGGTGGACAAATCCCACATCCGTAGCCAACCTGTGCATTGCCTCTGCCAAAGGCTTTGCACTTGCACGGCGCAACTGCACAGCCATCATACGGCAGGAGAAGCGCAGCAGAGCTTCCTGAGAGCTGACCTGCCACGTGATCAGTGAGGCTTGTAGCAAACATGGGATGGAAATGGATGGAACTTCCTGTAGTTGGCCATGAGCCTATCAAGACCCAAATTGCTGTGTAGAGTGTAGATACATGATACTGTACACGTGCAAAAAAAATATCGATATTGATATTGATCGTCAAAGCCAGGAGCACACAGTACGTTCGCTGCCACTTCTCTTGAACAAGTTCATCAGGTTGCTCAATTCACTGTAATTGATGGATCGATTATGGCTGGAGACTCAGCCTGACTTCAATCATCTTCCATCTAAATGGCACCTTGGCTCGTTCGACCTTGCGCTGCGACTTTTTCCGTTTCGAGAGATCTCGCCAGCTACGAAGTGCACACAGCAGCATGTAGTACCTGCAAAGAGGGTCCACCAGTAGATACCAGGGGCCACAGGGGCCCACCATCGGTGCCTAGTGATGGTGAGTTGGACAGATAGTTATGGTGACGGAAATGTTCCACTAGGGTTTTATGTGATTCATCTGCGATACGCTGCTGTATCCGATTTCAAAAAAATATTCTACCCTTTCATGACGTTTATTTGTAATAGGGATCACCATAATAGTGTTGATATCCCTATTAATATCCCTATTAAATCACCATTAATATCCCTATTCATCGTTCAAATCTAACAAAAGTTGAGAACCTGGGAAAGCACAGCCACCTGAAGGTCCTGCCACAACTGTGTCCAAATTTACTGTTTGACCGAAGCTCATTGCAGCGATGCCGCAACCTTTAGTTTAACAAAATGGGATTTATCAGGAGCCAAATCAGAATCCTCAATCAGCTACTGATATAAATAGATATAAGAAATTTTGTCCATCTGATCATCCGGTCCATCCCTTCCGAGTTTCCCCTCTCGGCACCCAGCAGAGCTTTTGGCATTGTGCAGGGCTCGCCGCAAACGCCCAGAACACAACAATTCTTGCCGCAGGCGCCAGTCCTTGGGCTGGGAGCCAGTCGTATTGCCAGATGATGTGGAGCAAATGGCGAAAAAAAGCAGGTGATCGGTTCCAAATCCCATCCCCATCACACACCATCCTTCTCAAAACATGGATGAATATTTGGTATCATCTCTATCCCATAATCGGAATCTTTAAAAGGGTTAAAAACCTATCAATGGGTTAATGGTGATCCCTAACTATGGGCAATTTGTCCAAGGTTTGAAAATGGCAAGTTGATGCCACCTGCGACCATCGAAATAGGGGGATGAATCTTCACTTCGCTTCTTTGGTCATGTTGGGACCATCCCCTCCCCTGCCACCCTTGGTCCCTTGGTCCCGTGGTCCCCTGGTCTCCTGGTCCCCGGTCGCTCCTTGTGCTTCAGCAGCACCAGCAGTTTCGCCTTCTCATCCTCTCGGGCCAACAGCTCGGCTTCAGCCTCCTGGGACTGGGAATGTCATGGAACACTCTCTGGAATCAGAGATGATGCATACATACGTCTATATATAATATATATATAATATATAATATAATAGAGTTAAATATAATATAACATACTCTAACAAATAACATAACATAATACAGTATAGTATAGTATAGGTGATAAAACAATATAGTTTAAATTTATATATATACCATAGAATAAAATATAATATAGTAAAATATGGTATTAAACCATGAAAATATAAATAAGAAATGTATATTAAGTAATATATATATGTATTGGGTATCAGTATCAGTATAGTCCAGTGAAGAGGTTAATGCATTCACAGAAGATGTCATCGATTCACAGAAGGTATCATCGCTTCACAGAAGGTGTCATCGATTTCACAGCAGGTGCCATCGTTTCATAGCAATTGTCATCGTTTCACAGAAGTTGTCATTGTTTCACAGAAGTTGTCATCAACCAAAGTTGTCATTGTTTCACTGGAGCTGTTATTGATTTACAGAACTTATATATCTTTTCACAAGCATGCTCATTGCGTCGCGTTTAGCTGCTTTGGACTGGACTACATTTGGAAAAAAACGAAATTGAAACCTCTAATGATACCGTACCGAATGCATACATATGTCACATATATATATAATGTATAATATATTATTATATTATATATGCACTATATTATATGTATATTATATATATATATTATAAAATTATATACACACGATGGAAATCCAGGTTCACTTTGGAGGAAGCTGCAAACTGCATCAGCAAAGCCAGCCACACCAGTATCCTTGCCGGCTCGCGTCTCTTCTGTTAGAAGCTTCTCAAGCTGTTGGGCCATCTCCTGGTGCCCACACTGATCCATTCCGGGAGGAAAAAGCAGCCCCAACTTGTCGGCCTGTCGTCAGTTTGACTACAGGAAACTATGGTGTCTTTGCCACGAAACAGATGGGTTTCCCGCAAATACCATCTCAAGGCCTCCAACCACCAACCCAAACCAGGGATCCCTGCCTGCCCTTCCACATGAATAACATGGATCAAGCTACAAGTTGATAACCGTTTCAGAAGGGAGCAAAACCCTTGACACTTCGCATTGAAACTTTGCAACAAGGCTATACAAAGCTTACTGTAGATTGCAAATGCTGTTTTCTGTTTGACTTCACAAAGGAGTTCTATTCACTCAAACTGCATGGTCTAGAGGTCATACTAACTGGTTCCCTCTTGAGATCTTGATGAGGAGACAAACTGCTTGCAGCTACAAAGCGGCTTGGCACGGCAGTGTCTGTACCGCAAATACTAAAGCGCACTGAGCCAAGAAGTCAAATGCCACGAGCAAACTGAGCAAACTGAGCAAACAACCAGCTCATTGCCTTGGTTCATCGCAGTAGCAGAAGAATGGATTTGTAGCAGACTTCAAGTCTGATCACTGATAATTTCAAGCTTTGGACCGTCGAAATTGCACCGAACATCTTTAATCTTTGTTGGCACAGTCCCACCACATCGGCCATCAGAACGCTCTACCCCATAACCGGCAAAGCAGGCATGTCACTCGTCGCAGTCTTTTTGCAAAACCACTGTCCAACGGAGCAAAGCCTACACAGATGCAAGCTCTGCTCCTGTTAGGGCCGTAGTACTACGGCGCAAAAGCAATCATGGCCAAGTGCACTCACATGACGACATAATGTCCAGCAAGAGTTCAAAAACCAAAGCTGCAAAAGGGCTACTGAAAATGATTGAAGAGTCAAGTGTGGGAAATTGTGGAGGCATTATGTGCCAATCTCATCCAATCTCTACTTCGCGAAAGCTGATAGTGAGTTGCCACTTAGAAGGGACTTGCTGGCTTCACGGCTGAGTGCCTAGCTTCACATCAGCCGATCTAAACGAGAGCTGGTCAAGCACGGCAGCTCAGCGTGAGAGAATGCGCTGGACTCCTCACAGTGCTACAGAGAAGCAGCAAGCCCCATAAACAAGTATTCATAGTATTCTATATCATTATATAATTATATTTATATAATGACCACCACCTAAAGGGTCCCCCAGAGTGGTCCCCCACCTCGATTAATTTAAAAATTAAACCGACGGGTCCCAACTTAGTTCAAGGTACCTCTATTAATTTGCTCGGCTTAAATGGGTTTCACCAGTGTTTGAGGTGTTCCGACCACTTCTTCAGATTGTATCATTATTCCTGGGTAGGTTCTGTATCTAATAAACACAACCCTTCTGCGAAGTCGGGCTTGGATGCATGTATTAGCTCTAGAATTACCAACGTTGCTAATTAATTTGGGTACCCCCAACCCTCATTCATACTAAATTAATTTGGGTACAACTTAAATTAATCCTCGAACAATAGAGTTCTCGAAAAAAGCCTCCCAAATCGAAATTAATTGAAAAAAATTAATTGGATAACCAACGGTCCACCTGGATTAATTTCGTTAACGGGGGGGTGATTTTATATAAAAGGAGGGACATATGTGTATATATATATTATATATATATATACACATATGTCCCTCCTTTACCCCACCCACCTTGAAAACTTGTTGTATGAAGAAGCTAGCTGGGAGGGTAATGGAAAAAGGAGAAAGGTGCGGTGAAAGAGCGACGTGTGTGAGGAATTTGGAGATACGAAGTGGAGAGGAAATGTGATGATGCTGATGATGCTGATGATGCTGATGATTCTGACGGCGACGATGCTGCTGATGCTGATGATGCTGACGGCGACAATATGGCGACAACCACGACAAAAATTGAACTTTAGTTCCAGGACAAAACGTGCCTTACCCCGACAAAGAAACAGCGTGATTCCGACAAAAAATGGTGCAGTTGCGAGCGGAAATGATTTCATCATAGTTTGTATACGACAAATCAATAATGCAATCGATGATTCGGACATTCAAATTTCTACGCGTTCCTTTCTTTTTTTGAAGTGCAATCCATCCTGCGGACGCGGAAACCATTCTGCGGACCATTGCAAGGCCTTGTGGCGTGCAATCCATTCTGGTGGCACGCCTTTGTCTGGCCTGGTCTGAATTGACGCCGGCGCCTTTTGCGTGGCTGGCGTTGCATTTCATGACATTGACGGTGCTTTCGTGTGACAGGCGCGGCACTAGGTGACATGGATGGTGCTTTTGCGTGGCATTCAATGCGAAGGACAGCACTGGAAAGTGACCTAGTTTTGATACAGTATCTCATCCACAACCTTCTGCCGAGTAAGTCCTTGAACCATCACTCATCCTTTTTGATTTGTTTGCATTCAATCCATTTTTTCACCACACTAAATCCATTGTTTTCCAACAAAACGGCTGTTGCGAACGAAAATCTAAACCGTCCAGCAGCATTTGTTGGATCTGGACTTCCTTTTTTGTCGTAGATAGATGTTGTTTTGTCATGAGATAAATTGTTTTTGTCGGGAGTAAAGCCCTGTACCTTGACGGCAAAACATGGCAAAACTGCTTGTGAAAAAGCCGGGAGGGGTGGAGGGCGTAATGAAGTTTCAGGTGATTGGCGATTCCAGCCCCTGCCAATATCCCATCCAGCGCTGTCATGTTAGTTCATGTTAACCAAATTCCATGAAGTCTGCTGCAGTGGGCTGGAGGTCTCTGAGCCAATGGCGAGCATACAACAGGGCTGGCGACAGCAGGATGTAGTGCCTTGGACTCTTGGACCATCGGATCCTGACACCATGAAGCTCAATGAAGCTTGATCAAAATCCCAACATGTTCCAGGCTAGGTGGCAAGCCCCAGCGGCCCAAGGAAGGTGGTGAAGAGCAAACACATCAAGAACTGCAGCAGATCACGGATGCAAAAAAAACTTCCATGCTGCTTCACAGCATCGGGACGGGAACAGATCTCAGGAACTGGCAATAACAAGAACCACCAAAATACCTGTCTCGTCCTCAAGGCCATCTCTGAGCTGCATTGGTATTGGCCGCATGTGGCATGTAAAGATTAGATTCACACAGCATGCAGTGAGCGTCCGCTGCATGTGGTGAATCACGAGGTTCTCTTCTGCTACAATATGTTGCATCAAGTATCAACCCAAGCAGGTCCTGCTCAAATAACAGGGCATCAAATGGTCTGGGGCACGAACCCAAGTCAAGTAGTTACAAATCGCCATGGTCCAGTTTGCAACCTGGATTGCACCGGGAATTGTTGATTTCCTTCTCCACAGGTTTCTGGGCTACCAACATGGTCTCTGAAGTAGAAGTGGAAGACGTAAGCTCCCAAGGTGGTGTTGCCCCACCTTGAAGTCAAACCAGGGATGAAAACCCATTGTGTTAACCTTCGAACACCGGTGGAAGATCTGTCTTGTAAGAGCACCACCAAGTGAGGTCGATGGGCAGGTACGTCATACCGAGCCTCAAGCCATCAAATCTTCAAATCAATGGACCAAGACTCCCAACTCTCAAAACATCCCTCTGACTGACCTTCAAAATCTCTCTTGGCTGCTGACACAAACAGAGTCGGTTGGATGATGTCAACGGAGAGCTCCAACCAAGCCCACTCCTCAGGCGTGGAGGGATTTGGCCACAGCCAAATCTGTGCAGTTTGCTGAATGAAGTAAGCTCCTTGCCATCCCTGTACCTTTCTCCAAGACATTGTTGGGATAGTGGAACCTGCGGAAGTTCAAAGTGTGCGTTTAGGAATCGGCCTTTCTAAACATTCTGAGGTCATGACATTGCCATCATCACCTGTAGAACCAAACAAGGTGTTTTAAACAAGTGAGAATGGTTGCCATCAATGTATCTTTATCTTGGAAGTGATACAAGCCCTTCAGTCCTTTGCATTTCTCTTAGTGCCCCACCCCAATCATCATGCTGGCACTTAGTGAAGCAGCTGCCCAGGTTCTGCCCTTGGGCAGGCGTTTGCTTAAACTAGTCACAGTGGGCCTGGCGGTCACAGGCCGACTGAGCCAAGTCCAAACTGATTCAAACTGTCTATATAAACCGTCTAAACGCCTTTGCAGTTTTCAGTCCGCCTCAGATAGTGATAGCACCACACGTAGAAGGCAAGGTACCTCCATATTCCAGAAACGTCTGCCCTCTATTCCGACTCTGGTCTTTCTCGCATCTGCGACAGGTATAGACATGGTCAGACATGATGAGTCTCTGTCTCCGCAATCGACGTGTATTCCCAGCCTTTGTCTGTCCTGCCGTAGTGCATATATCTCTTGAAACAGAAAAAGAATGGAAAATCATTTGCATGCCTTGTCCTATCACTCTCTCCCTGCAGGGCACCAAGACACCCAACGCATGTACATGGCACATCCAGTTCCAAAGTTCCGGAAAATCCACCTGGCTGAATCTTGGCATCAACATCTTACGATTTGATCCAGGCATCAGTCTAAATCTGAACACCCAAAGATTTGGAAATTGCATTGCCCGCTTACCTTTACATGCTTACACTGCCATGCCATCCAGTGCCCCAAGATGTGAGCAACGTCAGCAAGAGGTGCGAAAAGGTCCACATCACATAGACTGGGGCCTCAGCGAGCAATCGCTGGCTCCACTGCGATAAAAATGGCAAAAGATGGCTTGAGTACAAACAGTTCAACCAGGAGGCCCCTTTAGTACAAAGCTGGTCAACACTAGAAGCGGCGCAGATATGTGTTTCGAAATCTTGACAACTGCTATCAGTCAGTCTTATACATGTAGCGCGCACTTTGGACCTTTCCAGCAATGCTTTGTTTTCTCTACCCGAGTCTCCCATGGATCCCATTGAAGCAGAACTGAGGTCTTGGCTGAGTCTTTGGCACAAACATCGAAGGTGAAGGGACGGGTTGTTACTCCTGTCATGCTCAAATGTTGCAGCCTTATCGTGAAATGAACTCTGGAACCATGGATATTTCATAATAATATTACCATATGACAGTATCCGTTTGCAAAGCCCCTACAACGTCCACAATGCCAATTTGGCTGGTGCAATTTCCCGGCACCTTCAAAAGAAGAATCTGGCAAAAGGCACCTAAGAAACTTGTTCCAAGTATCCTATCCCCCCATGGATTCAGGACATGATTGTAAGATCAAGGGTAAAGCTGCACTGTTTCGACTGTCGCGGGCTCACTTTCTGAAACGCCCCCGACTGAGAAGCGGACGGGATGGTCGCAAGAATGCCTTGAAGCCAGCCCGGGGCCTGCAGCCGCTCAAAGATCGCCAAGTAGGCCCTGGCCTGATGGTGACAGGCTGCTCAAAAGCCGGCCATAAAATGGTGTCTCCAAGTGATTTCCTGGGAGCGCTACGCAAAAGACCATGCCCAAGTACCATCTGTGATCAGAGGTGTAAGAGTTTACCTCAGCCAGTGCCAATCCATCCATAGGTGCCAAAGATCCGTTTATTGAGTGTGGCCGGCAATAGACTGCAGCGCTCCAGGCTGTTGGTGGATGAGTAAGCAAGGACAAGCACCCCACTTGCATGTAAGGCCAGCCCCACTCATTTGTTGGTGGAGGCCTAATGTCACCTGGCGAGCTCACGTCCATCACAAGCCCATCAAGCATGTTCCTGGATTCCTGGCCTTCAGCAGTGGTGCCCCATGTGATTGGCCAAGCAAAGCTCCGGAAGAAGAAATGGAGGATCTGCGGGAGCGGCAAAGCCTGAGACTAAATCAGATTGAAGCTTTAACGCTAAAGTCTGATCAAGCTCTCATATCAGCCACCTTAGGCACGTGCCATTGCCATGTACACAAGCAGCACAAACAAATCCTGCGGCAGAACTCCACATCTGAGAGGTCAAGCCTATTGCATGCAAATTAAACCTAGACAGAACATGACAGAACGACTATGGCATGATATCAGCATGTTACCCGTCCTTCATGCCAAAGTTCACCTGAGGCTTGCCGCCAGGAGCGGGTCTTGAGTCCTGGTAAGCACCCAGCATGATGAAACCTTAGCTCAACTGGACAACCCACCGGCCACGGTTTTAATTTTGGGGAGAAACTGTTGCTGGTGACCTGACTTGAGAAAACAAGAATGTGATTTCTAAAATGAGAAAAAATAGTTCTGACGACAAACAAATTACCGTCAATTTCTGTTCATTCATCCAATTGCATGGCATGCCAATGAACGTGTCCGCAAGCAGTGACCCTGAACCAGCGAAGCCACCGAAAAGATCTTGGTCGTTGCCCAAAGAGCGGACAATGATCTCTGTCCATGGCTTCACAGAACTCCTGAAGTAGCCCAGGAATTTCAGCTGACTGGGAGCTTTCCAAAGTGAGGAATGGAAATGGTCTATCCGAGTCTGTCTTTTGGTGATGCTTGTGCTTTCACCATGTTGGAAACTGTAGGAACGGAGGTGTTTGTCTGAAGTCAAAAACCAGGCGCCCAATTCGCACCATGCTGCATGTTTGTTTGTATTTTGTATTTAGGAGTGTAAGTCCACACATAAGAGAAAAAACCACTACGATGCCGCTGACATTCCACAGTTGCCCTTGTTTCATCGTGATCGCATCAACGCAAAATGGCAAGAGAAGGGTCCACTGCTTCCCTCTGCTCAAGAGTCCGCTATCATACAAAGTAGGACCAAACAAGAGTGTCCTTGCAAGCGTAGTACAGAATGGCCAGTAGTAGGTTGAGTCACCTATTGAGTACGAGTCAATCGCACAACCTCAGTCCCCAGGGAAGGTACCACGCAGGAGACAGGAACACAACTCCCTGCCGAAGAGGAACGCATGTAGTGGTCTGTGAGGACTCCAATCATCCACCACCTTGTGTCAAGGCAACTCAGAATTGGTTCTGCAGCGGATGTGGCGATGAAACTTGAGACCCGCAGCATCAGTTAAAGGCCGCGACGCGTAGCATCTATGAATGACCTCCAAATACAAGGCGGAATGGCGGAATGATGCTTGGACCTGTGAAAAACGCAGCTGCCTGATTTTCGAAGATCGCCCACTTGGAAAGTTTTTTCATCTGCCCCAAGGAGTCCATCACCACCTGCCAACACTGGAACCGAAATGTACCGAATCTACCTGAATCCGGCGGTAAAAATTGGGCCTCCCCCTCTTCAACAACATGATTCGTGGCCATTTCCGCCAGCTCCTTCAGATTCGACCTGCAAAGGGCAACGGCCGGGCAACGATTCGATGGCCTCATCGCTTTTGGGCGAAAAAACCCAGCTCTTGGGCATCTGGCTTGCCATTTGGCAGCTTTGGAAGCTCCGGAAGAACCACAAAGAACCTCAGGAGGTCGAAGTGCTTAAACGAAACTTTCAATCCTCTGCTATGCAATACTACCTGAAACCAAAGTTGCGGTGGCTTTATGCACTTCAGGTCAAAAGCAAAGTGAGCAATGCAGAGTTTGCACATCGAGCATGTACTTCATCAATTTTCATCGATCTTCATCGATCTTCATCGATCTTCATCCCTTAGGCTCCTGCTTTGGAACATAGGAAGGAGTCAAGTTGGCCTGGCCGAGCCAGGAGGAATATGACGTTGAAGCACAGCCAAAGACTTGAATCCGATATTAACGGTTCAAGCAAGACCAGAAAATCCATGACATTTCAGGAATAGAAACTACTTCATTGCCACCACGTATGAAAAGCTTTGATTGGCAAGCCAGGATCTTGCAATTACTCGCTGGTTTAGTTGCTAGGGTGGCTGACGTCTCTAAGCAAAAGGACAGCCAAAGATGATGAAAGTTTGCTCCGAGTACAACTGCACAACACCCTTTTGTCCGATGCCAAGACTTGTGAGAAGCGCATGTGGCTACTCATTGGCGGAGTGCCTCCAGTTCTCAGAATCCAAACTTCAACGCCAGCCACTCCACTTACACTGCTCCTTGGCATTGCAGTCATCCTTGTTCAAAGCCACACACTTCTTCTCCCACCACTTGTCCGGATTTTTTGAACCTCCAATCATCTTGGTGGTGTGGCATCCTCCGACAGCTGCATGGTGCATCACGCCGTCTTCCTCCGCCCCGCGCTCTGGACGCAATGCCACTGTCACAAGAAGCAAGCTCCAAAGCAAGGCTGCGCGGCGGGCCAGATGTTGCTATGCCAGCTGCAGGGCCGGGGCGCTTGTTCTGTCCCGTGTCTGGTTGCCCCTGCGGCGATGCCGCGCGATGTGCTGGCTGGACGAGCGAGACAACTCTCCGGCGACACGTGGACCTCCACCTAACCGGCCATCTGGCTGGGGATGTGCCTGCTGCTTGGCTTCAGGCCCGGCATCGCACCCGGTGCTCTGTTTGTGGCACTGGCGTGGCTACACGCTTTGGGGTGCATCCAACCTGCCGGCCTGAGGCCCGTGCTGCTGCACCTGGTGGGGAGGCCAGAGCGCCTGCTCTTCCAGCTGGTGAGGCGCTGCCGTCGTTTGAGGCGATCCAGGCCGGGCAAACCCCGACTCTCCGGCACGTGCCTCATAGTGCTCCACCGGCTTGGGCCCAGCTTCTCACCCGGAGCCTGGCCGCAGTGGCCACCTACAATGATGAGCGGTCCTGGGCAGAGCTGCTGATGCTTCCTCAGACTGTTCTGTGTGCGCCGGCTCGTGGTGGCCGCCGTCATCAGAAAGCCCTCGCCGCTTTCACTTTAGAGCGGATCCAGCGATGGCAAGAGGGGGAGCGTGCTGCTCTTTGGGCTGCCCGCCCCAAGCCACGGAAGCGGTCCCAGACCGGACCTAGCCAAGAAGAGAGGCAGGAATTCGCAACCAGCCTGGCAAGGGAAGGGTTTGACAAAAAGGCCTGTGCCGCACTCCTTTCTCAGGGCCTTTGTCCCACAACCCCCGAGACTGTCAGCGCTTTGCAAGCCCTGCACCCGGTTGGGCCCAACCCTTCCGGGCCTGCTATGGCTGACCTGCCTGTTGCGCCGACCCTTGATGTAGAACTGGTGGTACGAGCTCTTCGCTCCTTTCCTGTTGACACCGCCCCAGGTCCTTCAGGCCTGCGGGTCCAACATCTCCGGGAATGCCTTCAGTCTGGTGTCGGTGACGGCTTGTTGGATCAGCTCACTGCAGTTGTTAACCTGCTGGCTCAAGGCCGAGCCTGCCCTGCTGTGATGCCGCTGCTGGCCGGTGCCGGGCTGATCGCCTTACCCAAGCCAAGTGGAGGTGTCCGGCCCATTGCCATAGGGGAAATTCTCCGCCGGCTTACAGGGAAGTGCCTGATGCAGGTGGTTCGTGCAGAAGCCCGAGACTACTTCTGGCCGGCCCAACTTGGTGTGGCTGTCCCAGCCGGAGCCGAGGCTGCAGTACACACTGTCCAGGCGTGGCTGGCTCGACACACTGCTGCCGTCAACAAGGTGATTGTGAAGCTGGACTTCCGGAATGCCTTCAACCTTGTCAATCGTGACGCAGTTCTGCAAGAGGCCCGTCTCCGGTTTCCGGCTTTGGCCCGCTGGGCTACATGGTGCTATGGTGAGCCCAGCCGTTTGCAGTATGGACCGGCCACTCTGCAGTCCTGTGTGGGAGTCCAACAAGGAGATCCCTTAGGCCCTTTACTTTTTGCAGCAGCTGTGCACCGGCTTGCCCTAGACTTGAAAGCAGGGCCGCTGGACCTCTCCATGTTCTACTTGGACGATGGCTTGCTTGCAGGGGACATTGGTCCTGTGGCCAACGCCCTTCACCACATTCAGCCGCAGAATTGGGTCTGCATCTCAACCTTCAAAAGTCTGAAGTGGTTGCTGTGGGAGCTATCCCGGATGGCGCCTTTCCTGGCCCCCTGCCCGCAGCCCTTTGTGCTACCCCTGATGGCGCCAGCCGGGTGGTGCGCGATTTTGAATTCCTGGGCGCGCCTGTGGGCTCCGATGCTTTCTTGGATGGCCATACCAGCCGGCGAGTTGAATCAGCCACAGCTTTGCTAGATGCCTTGGGTGCGCTGGCGGACCCTCAGGTGGCCTTGCGGCTGCTGAGGAGCAGCGCCGGCTTTTGCCGCATGGCTTACAGCATGCGATGCAGCCCTCCCACTGCTCAACAAACCGCTTTTGCTGGGTTTGATTCTTTGGTTCACCGGTGCTTCAGCTCCTTTACCGGGCTTCACCTGACCGACGAGCAGTGGCAACAAGCCACCCGCGGCTTGCGCCATGCCGGGCTTGGGCTTCGCTCAGTGCACTCCCATGCTCCCGCTGCCTTCCTTGCTTCTCTTGGTGGTTGTGCGCACAAATGTCAGGAGTTGGACCCCAATTACCCCACTGATTTGGGTACTTCACCTGAGGCTTGTGGTGCAGTGGCTGCTTTCAATGCCCAGCTGCCCCAGGCTGCACATGTGACGCTGTCCGCTGCTCTTGGCAAACGGCAGGCGGACCTCAGCCACCTGTTGGATGCAGCTGGCTGGGAGGCCCAACTAGCTTCGTCTTCTGCCATGGCAAAGGCTGGCTTGCTTTCTGAGGCCGAACCTGGTGGGCGCGCCTTTCTAACAGCCTTGCCTGCTGGACGAACCCGCATGGAGCCCGCCCACTTTGTTTCTGAAGTCCGTGCGCGGCTCGGGGTTCCGGATGCCAGCCACGATGCTTGGTGCCCACGCTGTGACGCTGTGCTGGACCGGCATTCGGTCCACGCCAGCATGTGTGTGGCCGGTGGAGAGCGCAACCAGAGACACAACAGCTTGCGCGATCTTGTGCACGGCTGGGCTGAGAAGGCCGGGCTCCAACCAGAGAGGGAACGAGCTGGGCTTCTGCTGCCGCAGAGCCCTGATGATGCTTCATCGGCCAGGCGCCGACCTGCTGACCTGTACTTGCCTTCCTTCCATGGGCGGCCAACCGCATTTGACTTCGCCGTGACGGCGCCCCAGCGGTTGGATGTCCTGGTTGAGGCTGGCCGGGGTGGCGGGTCTGCAGCCAATGCTTATGCTGACGTGAAGCGGCGGCACCTTGACACAGCCAAAGTTTGTGAACAACATGGCGTGGCCTTTGTGCCTCTGGTTGTCGAAACCAGTGGCGCGTGGGCGCCCGAGGCTTCCAAGATCCTTCACCAGCTCTCCCGGGCAGTGACTTTGAGGCATGGCGGGTTTGGCCCTCCTTTGGGTGGACCGACTCTGCTGGAAGAGGCTTCTGTCCTGGTCCGGTGCTGGCGTGCCCGGGCTACTTTGCGTCGCCGTGCTGAATTGGAGGCCTCCTGATTACCTGTGTCGCGCTCCGGGTTATTCTTCTTGACATCGCCGGCGGAGTGAGAGGTTGAGTGAGGTGTTCCTTTCATCTTATTTGGAGGGCGTCCAGCTCAAAGCTCGGATTTTTCCCTTCTTTGGTTGGACGGCTGCTTGATTTGTCGGCATAGGTCGTCCGTTTTGGTTTTTTTGCCTTGTACTTTTTCGTTTTCCCCTTTATGTGGCTTGAGATTGCTAGCATCTCACCCGCCTTGGCCCCCAAGGGGCTTACCGCAATCCCGGTCAGTCGAAGATCGTAAGTTTCTCTGATCCCATACCTTTTTTGGTGAGCCCTACTTGTGTGCAGCTTTGGGTTCCCGTACTTTGGCAAGTTTTTTTCCCCTTCAAAGAAGGTTTTTTCCTGCCAACCATTGGATGGAAGTTAAGGCTGCGCGCATGGATGGCAAAGTCTCACAAACTGCTGTTTTTTGGGAAAGTCCGGAAAGTCAAAGCGCTTGAGCTACAACATGCGGTGCGCAAACAAGAAAACTGCGAACTTCATCAGCCAAGTTCTGTACTGAAGTAGTAATGTGGACTTTGCATCTTTGGGCATGAGATCTTTTTCGGGAAACTCCCGCTGGGCGACAAAACAAACGGCAATAATTAGTCTTGAGTTTGGTTGCTTTGCTAGGGTGGCTGACGTCTCCAAACAAAAGGACAGCCAAAGATGATGAAAGTTTGCTCCGAGTACAACTGCACAACACCCTTTTGTCCGATGCCAAGGCTTGTGAGAAGCGCATGTGGCTACTCATTGGCGGAGCGCCTCCAGTTCTCAGAATCCAAACTTCAACGCCAGCCACTCCACTTACACTGCTCCTTGGCATTGCAGTCATCCTTGTTCAAAGCCACACACTTCTTCTCCCACCACTTGTCCGGATTTTTTGAACCTCCAATCATCTTGGTGGTGTGGCATCCTCCGACAGCTGCATGGTGCATCACGCCGTCTTCCTCCGCCCCGCGCTCTGGACGCAATGCCACTGTCACAAGAGGCAAGCTCCAAAGCAAGGCTGCGCGCATGGATGGCAAAGTCTCACAAACTGCTGTTTTTTGGGAAAGTCCGGAAAGTCAAAGCGCTTGAGCTACAACATGCGGTGCGCAAACAAGAAAACTGCGAACTTCATCAGCCAAGTTCTGTACTGAAGTAGTAATGTGGACTTTGCATCTTTGGGCATGAGATCTTTTTCGGGAAACTCCCGCTGGGCGACAAAACAAACGGCAATAATTAGTCTTGAGTTTGGTTGCTTTGCTAGGGTGGCTGACGTCTCCAAACAAAAGGACAGCCAAAGATGATGAAAGTTTGCTCCGAGTACAACTGCACAACACCCTTTTGTCCGATGCCAAGGCTTGTGAGAAGCGCATGTGGCTACTCATTGGCGGAGTGCCTCCAGTTCTCAGAATCCAAACTTCAACGCCAGCCACTCCACTTACACTGCTCCTTGGCATTGCAGTCATCCTTGTTCAAAGCCACACACTTCTTCTCCCACCACTTGTCCGGATTTTTTGAACCTCCAATCATCTTGGTGGTGTGGCATCCTCCGACAGCTGCATGGTGCATCACGCCGTCTTCCTCCGCCCCGCGCTCTGGACGCAATGCCACTGTCACAAGAAGCAAGCTCCAAAGCAAGGCTGCGCGCATGGATGGCAAAGTCTCACAAACTGCTGTTTTTTGGGAAAGTCCGGAAAGTCAAAGCGCTTGAGCTACAACATGCGGTGCGCAAACAAGAAAACTGCGAACTTCATCAGCCAAGTTCTGTACTGAAGTAGTAATGTGGACTTTGCATCTTTGGGCATGAGATCTTTTTCGGGAAACTCCCGCTGGGCGACAAAACAAACGGCAATAATTAGTCTTGAGTTTGGTTGCTTTGCTAGGGTGGCTGACGTCTCCAAACAAAAGGACAGCCAAAGATCTGTCTGAGAACGGCCTGCAAAATCCAAGACTCAACAAATGGAACAAACATTCACAATGTAAAGTGGCCTGACAATGTGCTCTGAGCGTTTCAGAAGTGATGCCTTCACGTAAGCCTTCGGCAGAGGAACTGCAGCCAGCTGAATGTCTTCCAGCCCTTTCAACTCATCTTTGTAGTGTAATTGTATCTATGTACACACGCCCATACATCCATCTTTAAATATATGTATATATAGTAATCGGCTAGCACTTAGAATATTAATCATTGTTTTTTTCGAATAGGTCTATTAGTTACATGATTTTTCCTGGGTGAAAACAATATTCTAAGTGCATATCCACAGACGATGCACATAGAATATAAACCTTGTAAAGATGTGCTGAGTTGATCATGAATCAAACCATCATGATGCATGGCGATGTCCGCGCTGTTTACTTTAGATCTCACTGATCAACGATTTGCTTGGACAGTCTTGAGATTTTGATAAGGTAAATCCGCCCGCACCGAAGGTGCTGGGGCGTGATCGTCCGGATGGCACTCGTAAAAGGTTACAGGTTTACCTGGGGGGGGGGCATTTTTCGGCCAAAACCTCCTGTTTTTGATAGGTCGTGACGCTCGCCTTCAAAAAACACTGTAAAAAACAGTACGGAAGACACCTGTTCGTGAACGCGCCCGTCCAAAATCGGCAAGCGAAAAGTGAAAAAAAACCGTGTTTTTCAACTTTTTGACCTCAATTTTTTGGTTTGCAACATCTTTTTTTGCGGTTCCGCAGGTGGCCTGGCCCGGAGGCGGATTTTTGAGTTTTTGGACCCGTTTTCGGACTGATTTTCGTCGTTTTGTGATAGCAGAAACACTGGTTTTTACAGTGTTTTTCTGTTTTCTGCATGCTTGACGGCTAGCTTCAAAACTTCCAAAAACCTCGTAAATTACGCTGTTTTATGTTACGGTGTGAATGAAAACATCGTAAATACCAGTGTTTTTTGACGTTGGTTAAAAAAACACTGTAAATTACAGTGTTTTTGGCCACCTGACCCTCAAAAACCATGGTATTTGCAGTGGTTTCTGCTTCTCACCGCGCAAAAACACTGTAAATAACAGACTGCGCGGGGAACTCGGCCTGCTATTTCTTACGCGGCCGGCCGGCCAGTCTGTCTTGATTCCGGCCGGCCGGCCGGCTAGGCGTGTGTGAGCTACGTCCGGCCGGCCGGCCAGCCGCCTGGATACCTTTGCATTGGCGTAGTTTTTGGCTGGCCGGCCGGCCGGCCGGCTGCTTCGTTGGCTGGCTGGCTGGCTGGCTGTCTGGCTGTGCCTTCAATTGGCTAAGGTCTTGGCCGGCCGGCCGGCTGACGGCTGGCTGTACCTCCAATTGGCTAAGGTTTTGGCCGGCCGGCCGGCTGGCTGGCTGCTTGGCTAGTTGGCTGGCTGGCACGCTGGCTCGGCTGGTGGGCTTAGCTACTTAGTTCCGGATTTTAGTTAAAGTAAGCGCTAAATAGAATGTAAAGGACATGTTAAAATTCTGTAAGCTTTAAGAAATCTCAATCGAAATATGCGATAGTATGACCGCATAAATGTTAGGTAGATAGCGTATATGTTAGATAGAATGTTGAAGAATGGTAGACAGAGTAGGTGATAAAACTGGAATATGTGTTAGAGGAAATATGTTAGGGTTAGATAGAATGTTAGATTGAAGGTCGGGATTATTTGGCAGCTATAATGTAAAACATTCTTCCCCAGACAGTGTGTCTACACTGAGGGGTTCTGACGGTAGATGCGAAGGTTGGTGCTTGATCAGGGTGGTCACTCTCTTCTGCGGCATGTTACCGGTAAGTTTTCGTATAAAGCGTCGCGTATAAAATCTTGACATGCGTTTCGACTGCGCAGGCTCGCGCAAAGTGTGTGTCTGCGTTTTGGGCATTTTTCATGTAAATTTCCGTATGAAGTGGCTCTTGTGAAATCTTGACATGCGTTTCGATGTGGCAGTCTTGCATGGTCTTTGATTTCATTCATTTCAGTTTTTCATTCATTGCAGTCATTTCATTCATGTCATTCATGCCATTCATTTCGTTCATTTCATTACTTTTATTCGCATCATTCGTTTCATTCATTTCCTGCATTTCAGTCATTTCATTCATTCCTTCAATTCACTCAATTCAGTCATGCAATTCGTTTCACTCGTTTCATTCCTTTCATTTCTTTCAATTATTTCATTCATTTATTTCCATGCATTTCATTCTTTTCGTTCATTTCAATCATTTCATTCATCTCATTCATGTCATACATTTCAATCATGTCATTCGTTTCATTCGTTTCATTCATTTCATTCGCTTTCTTCGTTTCAGTCATTTCATTCATTCCGTTCATGTCATTCATTTTTTCCATGTGATTCGTTTCATTCGTTTCATTCATTTCATGTGATTCATTCGTTTCAGTCATTGCATTCATTTCATTCACTATATTCGTTTCATTCATTTGATTCCTTTCATCGTTTCATTCATTTCATTCGTTTCATGCATTTCATTCGTTTCATGCATTTCATTCGTTTCATGCATTTCATTTAGTTCACTCATTTAATTCATTTCCTTCGTGTCATTCGTGTCATTTCTTTCATTTCGTTCATGTCAATCATTTCATTCATGTCATTTGTTTTTTCGTTTCATTCATTTCATTTGTTTCATTCGTTTCATTCGTTTCATTCATCTCATTCATTTCGTTCATCTCGTTCATTTCATTCATTTCATCTATTTTTTTGCGTTTCATTCGTTTAATTCATTTCATGCGTTTCATTCCTTTCATTCATGTCGTTTATTTCGTTCAATTCATTCATTTCATTCGTTTCATTTGGTTCATTCGCTGCATTCAGTTCATGTCATGTCATGTCATTTGGTACATTTCATTCATTTCGTTCATTTTATTCATTTCAGTCGTTGCATTCACGTCATTCATTTCATTTCATTTGGTTTCATTTCATTTCAGCCATTTCAGTCATGTCAGTCATGTCAGTCATTTCGGTCATTTCAATCATTTCAATCATTTCATTCATTTCATTCATTTCGTTCATGTCATTCATTTCGTTCATTTCATTGCTTTTATCCGCTTCATTCGCTTCATGAATTTCATTCATTTCAATCATTTTTTCCGCTTCATTCATTTCATGTCATTCATTTTGTTCGGTTCATTCGTTTCATTAATTTCACTCATTTCATGCGTTTCATTCATTTCATTCATTTCGTTCATTTCGTTCATTTCATTCGCTTCATTCCTTTCATTCGTTTCATTTGTTTCATTTGTTACATTCGTTTCATTGTTTTCATTCCCTTCATTCATTTCATTCATTTCATTCATTTCATTCATTTCATCCGTTTCATTCATTTCATTCATTTCATGCATGTGTATCATTCCATTCATTTGATTCCTTTCATCGTTTCATTCATTTCATTCGTTTCATGCATTTCATTCGTTTCATGCATTTCATTCATTTCATCCGTTTCATTCATTTCATTCATTTCATGCATGTGTGTCATTCCATTCATTTGATTCCTTTCATCGTTTCATTCATTTCATTCGTTTCATGCATTTCATTCGCTTCATGCATTTCATTCGTTTCATGCATTTCATTTAGTTCACTCATTTCATTCATTTCCTTCGTGTCATTCGTGTCATTTCTTTCATTTTGTTCATTTGTTTCATTCATTTCACTCATTTTTAGTCATTTCATGTCTTTCATGTCTTTCATGTCTTTCATGTCTTTCATTCACTTCATCATGTCGTTCATTTCATTCGTTTCATTCATGTCATTCATTTGTTTCATTGCATTCGTTTCATTCGTTTCATGCACTTCATTCATTTCATTCATGTGGTAAGTTTCATTCCTTTCAATCGTTTCATTCATCTCATTCATGTCATTCGTCTCATTCATTTCATTCGTTTCGTTCATTTCATTCGTTTCATTCGTTTCATTCGTTTCATTCATCTCATTCATTTTGTTCATTTCGTTCATTTCATTCATTTATTGCGTGTCATTCCCTTCATTCATGTCATGCATTTCATTGATTTCATTCATAACTTTCATTTCGTTAATGCATTTATTTCATGTGTTTCATCCGTTGCATTCATTTCATGTCATGTCATTTCATTGCATTTCATTTCATTTGATTCGTTTCATTCATTTCGTTCATTTTATTAATTTCTTTCGCTTCAATTCGTTCCATTCCTTTCATTTAATTCATTTCATTTCGTTTGATTTCATTTCATTTCAGCCATTTCGGTCATTTCGGTCATTTCAATCATTTCATTCATTTCGTTCATGTCATTCATGTCATTCATTTGGTTCATTTCATTATATTTCATTCATGTCATTGCTTTTATTCGCTTCATTCATTTCATTCATTCGTTTTATTTTGATTCATTCGTTTCATTCATCTCACTCATTTCATGCGTTTCATGAATTTCATTCATTTCGTTCATTTCGTTCATTTCATTCGTTTCATTCATTTCACTCGCTTCATTCGTTTCATTTATTTCATTCACTTCATTTATTTCATTCATTTCATTCATTTCCTCCATGTCTTTCGTTTCATTCGTTTCATTTGTTTCATTTCGTTCATGCGTTTCATTCATTTCACTCATTTCAGTCATTTGATTTCTTTCATTCATTTCATCATTTCGTTCATTTCATTCGTTTTATTCATTTCATTCATTTGGTTCATTTCATTTGTTTCATTCTTTTCATGCATTTCATTCATTTAATCCATGTCATTCGTTCATTCGTTTCATTCCCTTCATTTGTTTCAGTCATTTCGCTCATTTCAGTCATTTCATTTCTTTCATTCATGTCATCATTTCGTTCATTTCATGCGTTTCATTCATTTCATTCATTTGTCTCATTTCTACGGTTCATTGGTTTCATCCGTTTCATGCATTTTATTCATTTCATTCACGTCATTCGTTTCATTCCCTTCACTTGTTTCATTCATTTCACTCATTTCAGTCATTTCAATCCTTTCGTTAATTTCGTTCATTTCGTTTATTTCATTCATTTCTTTCAATTTTATTTGTTTCGTTCGCTTCATGTGTTTCATTCATTTCATTTTTTTCATTCAATTCAGTCATTTCATTCGTTTCATTCATTTCATGCATTTCATTCCTTTCATTCATTTCAGTCATTTCATACATTTCAGTGATTTCATTAATTTCATTCATTTCAGGCCTTTCAATCATTTCATTCCTTTCATTCGTTTCAGCTATTTCATTTCATTTCATTCATTTCATTCATTTTATTCATGTCATTTCTTTCATGTTGTTCATTTTTTTCACTTCTTTCATGTCATTCATTTCGTTCGTGTCATTTGTTTCATTTGTTTCATTCGTTTCATTCATTTGAGACATTTCAGTTATTTCATTCATTTCAGTCATTTCATGTTCATGTCATTCAGTTCACTCATTTCAATCATTGAAATCATTTCATTCCTTTCGTTCATTTGAGTCACTTCATTCATTTCATTTATTTCATTCCTTTCATTCATCTCATTCATTTCGTTCATCTCATTCATTTCATTCATTTCATTCGTTTCAGTCTCTACAGCTATTTCAGTCCTTGCGTTCCTTTCATTCATTTCATTCATTTCATGTATTTGGCTCATTTCTTTCAATTCAAGTCAGTCACTTCAATCATGTCATTCCTTTCGTTCATTTCATTCATTCCAATCAATTCTTTTGTTGCATTCGCTTCATTCATTTCATTCATGTCATTCCCTTCATTCGTTTGGTCCTTTTCATTTGTTTCATTCGTTTTGTTCATTTTCATTCCTTTCATTCGTTTCAATAATTTCACTCCTTTCAATCATGTCATTTCTTTCGTTCATTTCATGTCTTGGTTTCGTTTCATTCGTTAGATTCGTTTCATTCATTTCATTCAATGAACTTCTTTCATTCGTTTTCATTCGCTTCATTCATTTCATTTGTTTCATTCATTGCATTCATGTCAGTCGTTTCTTTCATTGCATTCATTCATTTCATTCGCCGGGCTTGGTTTTTGGCTCGCCGGCCGGCCGGCCGGCCGACCGGCTGGCTGCCACGCTGGCTGGCTGGCTGGCTGTCGCTTGGCTTCAGCTGGCGCCACGGTGGCTAGCTGGTTCTTGGTTTGTGGCGTCCGGCCGGCCGGCCAGCTGGGGCTTGGTTTGTGGCCGGCCGGCCGGCCGGCCAGCTGGTGCTTGGTTTTTGGCCAGCCGGCCGGCCGGCCGGCCGGCTGGCTGGCTGGGTGTGAAATAGCGGGCCGCACTAAGCTCGCAATCCCTAACAGCAATTTCGCCGTTTTTCATGTTTTTCGTTATTTTTTGAACTGCGTTGGTCCGCTATACATGGCTATCAAATTCTTCGCGTTTTTTTTTCCGACAATCAGTACTTTCGGATGTTTTTGGTCTCAATGGCCGACATCATTGGCAGTTACGAGCGGTCGCGAAGGTGTGAGAACAACATCGTTCAAACCGTGGCGGCCGCACAGGGGTTCTTGTCGCGGAGCGACGGCAATAGAAGAGAACAATGGCAGTAGAAGAGAACAATGGCTGACATCATTAACAGTGTGGACCGTTCACTCGATATGTACATATATGATCTTTATATATATAGATATATCTCTCTATGTGTGAGCCCAACGATGCGGTGCGGGCGGTTGCCGTCGCGAAGCGACGTGTACCCATATTCTATGTGGATAAATCCGCCCGCACCGAAGGTGCTGGGGCGTGATCGTCCGGATGGCACTCGTAAAAGGTTACAGGTTTACCTGGGGGGGGGGGCATTTTTCGGCCAAAACCTCCTGTTTTTGATAGGTCGTGAGGCTTTTTGACCTCAATTTTTTGGTTTGCAACATCTTTTTTTGCGGTTCCGCAGGTGGCCTGGCCCGGAGGCGGATTTTTGAGTTTTTGGACCCATTTTCGGACTGATTTTCGTCGTTTTGTGATAGCAGAAACACTGGTTTTTACAGTGTTTTTCTGTTTTCTGCATGCTTGACGGCTAGCTTCAAAACTTCCAAAAACCTCGTAAATTACGCTGTTTTATGTTACGGTGTGAATGAAAACATCGTAAATACCAGTGTTTTTTGACGTTGGTTAAAAAAACACTGTAAATTACAGTGTTTTTGGCCACCTGACCCTCAAAAACCATGGTATTTGCAGTGGTTTCTGCTTCTCACCGCGCAAAAACACTGTAAATAACAGCAATTTCGCCGTTTTTTCATGTTTTTCGTTATTTTTTGAACTGCGTTGGTCCGCTATACATGGCTATCAAATTCTTCGCGTTTTTTTTTCCGACAATCAGTACTTTCGGATGTTTTTGGTCTCAATGGCCGACATCATTGGCAGTTACGATGCGGTGCGGGCGGTTGCCGTCGCGAAGCGACGTGAATATTCTATGTGGATGACATTCCAGGAATAGGTTTTGCTATGTATTTTCCATATTCTTAGTGGCACCTATTTATTTTTAATATTCTATGTGCCAGCTGTTTACTATATGTATATACTGTACCTATATTTCTCTTTGTATGATCTTGTTTGCTGGGATTGGGATCTGTTTTATTTTCTACCTTTCTTAAGAAAAGCTTCAATGAAACGACTGCGTCATTCTGCGCCTTCTCGGAGGCTGACAAAAGCTACCAATTCGGCAGGTTCTCTCGACGCAACCACGGCAACCTACGAACGAGGACTGGTTGCGAGCCTTGAGTCACTGAAAATGTGGCAATGTGATGAGCATGGCGTACCTTGTAGTTGTGTTCAAATATAGCAACCATATTAATAATATAGCAGAGAAAAAGTGAAACCAATAACACCACTCTCTGTTCATGTTGAGCACCAATCATGCTGTGAAGCAAGTAAATGCATACATATGCATACGCAAAGCACATCAAAGCGGCAGGAAACATGATCTCTGCCTCCTTCAAAGCTGGCCGCTGGCTGGTTCCTGATTCCAACTCCAAATGGTTGTCCTCGAGCAACTGCTCAGTCGAACTGAGTCTCCAGGCTGCATCACTTGGAATTGGAAAGGATCAACTGATGATCAACTTGAGCAAAAAAACTGAAAAAATGTGAAACAATATCAGCAGGCAAGCCTCCTCATTGGTGTAAGTAAACCTTGGCATTCAGAAGTTGTCACGTCTCGTCACACTTGACACAACTTCCCCAGGTTCGAACCTTCGCAGCACTGCTTCGACTTCTTCTGGCTCAACCCTAACACCACGGATCTTCACCTGACAAAAGCATCAAAGATATTCAAAGATTCGAGTCAAAGCGTGCTTGTCTCCAGAACCACTGGCAATAGGTCTTTATGGTATTTGCTTATGATATTTGTGTATGGTATTTTATGGCAAATACCTACCCGGTGTCATCAAGTGGACTCTTTGGGTGTCGAAAGTGCGGCTCATGAGTCCGCCTGCCGGTCCACGCGGCCAATCACCTGCCAGTGAAAATGTTACTGGTGCAGCCTGGTGCAGGGCAAATCCAGAGCAGTTGATAGCTTAGCTATGCTCAGCTTGCCTCCAGTTGACCGGCTGTCCATTTTCCCCTGTCACCAGTGCGGTACAGTCGGCCGTAGGCCTGGTTGAAGGCGACTGGGTAGGGGGCCATCCCAAGACTCACCGGTTGCACCAGCCTGGGTATCAACCCACTTTTCCTCCGACAATTCAGGGTGTTTCCAGTAGCCTCGGGTGCTGCAGTTTGGCACCGGCAACTTCCAGTGCTGTTGATGTCTGGTACAGAGGTGAGGCCAGGACAAGCTGCGAGCACACCGCCAAAGCAAATTTCGCCGGCCTGCAGTTTGGACAAGAACAAGACGGATTGGAAGGTGATGACACCTTCTTTCCCTTGACTCGTCAAAAAAGATCAAAAAAGCATACGTATCATATCACGTTTGTATGCGATGGCTCGCACTTTTTCCTGCAAAGCTCAGGCAACTCCTCAGAAAATCAAAGCATCCCAAGCATTCTGCCACCTCGGCCTAAGTAGGACGACTGATCTGATGGCCACCTGATTTTATCTTTAGCTCATTTGTGGTAGCTGCCAGCCTCCGATGTTCAAGCAAAATGGAAGATATATTTTGACGGCTGAGAATTTTTTGAGTAATATATTGAATTGTCGATGAACATGACTTTAAGCGAAGTCGATATTCCCATACAACATATTTTGCTCCAACACTATGCAACTTGAGAATCATTACCCAAACCATCCCAAGCCCGGGTTTTCATGAAACCTCTCGTACTGAGCTGCCGGACGCTCCCAGGTTTCATGCCGCAGGGTTGCCACATCTCGTTTACAGCAGCTACTTTGGGACGTGCGCGCCTGCAGCCAACAAGGTGTCTGGTTGCTTGTTTGACTATACCATCCATACCTGATAAATATTATATATATATATATTATAATAATTTATAATAATTTATAATATATAATAGGGCAAGAATTGAAGGCTATCAAGCCGAGATGTCTTGGGATATTGTATCCCCGACCCAAAACCTTGACCACTGGCAGAGATTCCTTTTCACGTGGGGAAATCCCTGGTCACCAAGAACAGACCAAATCAAGAAGGAACAGTAAACACGCACACTCGAGTTTCCTAGTCTTGTCTTCACATCATTTGGAAAAGGATACTCACAAAAGAGAGTATAGCGATTACATTAAAAGCCTCAAATTGGTGCTGTCCAGTGCCCAGGCCTGTCCGAAGTGTCGTAGAAAATCAGGCTGTAGCGGTCGCCCGTGTAGTTTCTTACCCAGTGCACAAACCGACCGTCAATGCAAGCAATGCGATTGCGAGTGTCAACGATGGCAACTGACTTTGGGTCTTCTTCTATGCAGAGTTCGCCTCCAGAAAATTCTCCCAAAGAAACTGCAAATTGAAAAGTCTTGTCCTGCTCATCAATATGTGGTGAGGCCACAAAGTTCTTGGTCACAGCAACGCCAGAATAGTAGAAGGTAGGATCTGCCCACATCATCAATTCGGAACACAACCCACGAAGCTTGCTATAGCTGTCCTTGGCATTACTGTGAAGCACCAAATACCTATCACTGGTGAGGCAAGGTCGATGGTTCTTCGCTGGCCAACGCAAGCACTGCAGCTCCTTTAAAAGTCCAAGTGACAAATGCGACGGTAAAGCCACACCCTGGACATGGCGAGTATCCCGTGGTTTTGACTCCAACGATGCAACTGCAGATTCCAAGAGTCTCTCACGATCTTCCAGGATGGCACCTACCCTCTGCTGCAGCTCCGACGAAGGCAAGGGTCGCAGCTGTTCTAGCAACGATGGATCTGCTGATGACCCCTCCAAATCGTTAGAGCAAAGCTGGCCTTCTTCAAACGTTTGAGCTGAATCCCCATGATCGGCCTGCCGCACCCGAACCACAAAGGACATCTCCAAGGCAGCCCCACTTCCAGCCCCACGCCCACAAGACTTGGCATCACCGAGCACCTCAGTCAGCGACACTTGTAGCCCATCCAAGGCCTTTCGAGCCGTAGTAGCTTCCTCAGCATCGCGATAACAAAGAATCGCATAGCCAAGACTTCTACCGTTTTGATCTTTGTATTGTCTCTTCAACACTTTCTTCACCCAGGCTTGCTCAACCTCGCGGGGCGTGTAGCGGTACAAGAGCTGTGCAACACGACGCGGATGCGCCCAGCCAGCAGGAAGGTCGCCCAACCACAAACAAACATCGGCATCAGCATGGCGAGCCACGCGGGCATGTTTGCCATGCTTTCCATCCTTTCCATGTGTCCTTTCCTCGTTTTGGTTTGAAGTCTTTGAAGTCTTGGAAATCCTGGACTTCACAACCTCTGATGGTTTCTCGGATTCATGGCATTGATGGCCCAAGGTGCCCCTGGTCTCCGCATGCAGGGAACAAGGTCCGGGAGCTCGTAGATGTTTGAACAACAGGTTTCGAGATACAAAGCATCCGTTGCAAGTCTCACAAACAAATTGCCCCTTTTGAATTGCTGGCTGTTTCACTGGCTTCGCGGCAGAGCCCAGATTCCAAACCTTTTTCTTGTCATCAATAAGCACGCCCATTGCCACAAGCTTTCTAAAAATTGAATCTGCTTCCTCCCATTGCTTTTGCACCCGCAAAACATGTCTTTCCTCGAGCAAATTGGAAACTTGTCCTTCATCCACCACAACCGGCTGGCTACATTCGTCCGTCACTCTCTGGTACACAGGCATCGATTGCGAGCCATTGGCACGAAAGCATCGGTTTCAGGATTGCGTTCCCATCGGTTCTAGGAATTAATTTCATTCTTTCTTCATTTTCGAACTAGTTTGGCATTTGGTTTGGCTGGCACATGGAGCATTTCCTGCAAGTCTAGGCTGTCTCTTTCAAACCCTCTTATGCAAACGTTGAAATCAAAACCACAGCTAACTCAATTCATGTCCAAAGCTTTCTAGAGCTGCCAGGCAATTGCTGCAATCCACAGGTTGTCAATACCATTCCAGCCATTCGTGAAAAGTATCGAGAGTAACAATTGAGTAACCCTATGCTTCCCTCAGCCCAGATACAGCACCTCGCCGTTCGCCACTTGCACCAGGACAGCAGGATCACCCTCCTGCAGTGTTTTCCTTTTTGTGTCCCAAACATGCCGCATGTGTATGGCCATACAGGCCATACAGCTACACTTTCCGGACACCGAAAGCTGGTCCTCTCGCATGACATAAACAGCTGAGTGAGGCTGTGGTCGACCGCAAGGTGCCTTAAGACTCTCAGAGTTTCAACTCTCTCCATGCACTTCACTGCTGGGGCAGCCACCTTGGATGGGAAAACCTCTAGGTCCACCCCGGTCTTGGGCACGGTGTACACCTGGCATGTGGGGAAAACCAGAAAGGGCGGTAGATTCGATATTGGTTGTATTGAAACCGAACTCAGCCAATATGAACGCTGATTCAAATTGGCTAGACCTCACAAATCTGTGAATTTTGGGATTCATTTCCCATCATTTCCCACTTGAAGCATCCCTAAATCTCGTCAGCAAAACGGTGCAAGAGCTTTCAGAAGCTCCATAGAAGTTGTGCAACTGCGCCTGGCACAGGGAAGCAACGACATGCTTCATTTGCATCTGAAATACATGTCCAAAAAAGACTAAATGTGTTTTCATACCTCAATGAGGTAACTCATGGACTTCAATGACCAGTTTTGAACATCCAAAGCCCATCTCGCGCACCGGTGCTGACAAGTACACTGTGGATTCGTCCTCTATCCTCCTTCACGATAAATGTTTTCTGAATCAAAATGGCCATAGTCAAAGAACCAGAATGCGCTCGAAGAACAAGGCCTCCAGACCACGTGTCTGCATGACTCCTTAGCGTCTTCGCTTGGAATGGTCTCAAATTTATGCGCTCTGTTGGTGAGTCTCTCGCCATTCGCCCAACGTGCAGCCAGGCAGCGATTGGCCAATGCACAGCCCAAAGGTTCTCCGACCGTGACAATATGTTTCACCTTAAAGACAAGAGATTTTGGATTCAGAAGTCCAGTGACCAAAACAAATCTTGCAGATGTCGCTGTGCCTTTGAACGCATGTTTGATCATTTTCCCACAAAGAACCAGCAACATCTAACAATCTAACAATAAGCACGGGCCATTTTTCATCACTTTTCATGCTTGAAAGCTGCGCAGCTGGTCACAAACTCTGGTTCATTGCTTCTGAAAGCTGCTGTACTCCTCCCATTGAGCTTTGGGGAGAGGCAGTCCATCGTCTGGGACATAACCTCGTTCATCACGAGACTTTTTCAGATCTGCGAAATACAGTAAAGTTAGTAAAGTGAATGTCACCAGCACCAAAACTGTGGTCGTGCGTTCAGTCCCATGCGTCCCATGTGCCAAGTGTGCCAAGTGTGCCAAGCAGCATTTCGTGGGATCAGGGACTTTCCCAGGCCAGTAGTTGGCTTGCTCGAAGATGCACAGGGCAGCCGGGGCGAGCCACAATCGGACAATGTAAACATCTAGAGCCACTCCGAAGCAATAGAGGCAGCCTCGGTGAACGGCAGCCCTCCTGGGTTCCTGTTCGACAAATTTCCGGTGTCCGAGCCTATCCTGGAACCTGAGAAGCAACGCTAGCCGCTAGCTGAGAGCCAGACCCATTTGAGCGATGACTGGCACCGTTGACAAGAATACGAAAAAGAAGCTCACCACCATAATTGTTCCTTCCAGGATGAGTCTCGGAATACAAATCTGTGAAAACCTCAGGCTCAGAGGCTGCTGTTGCAGATCAGGATCAACTACGTTAGAGTTGGACGAATACCCTGAAAAAAAAAAAACTGATGTAAACTGCGTATAAAATGTCCATCGACTATAGTGTTTCAAACCCACATGGCCTAGGTTTTTGGTTGCTGCTGTGGATTTGTCAACGCGGTACCCCATTCTATCCCATGGTTTACAACTGATTTCCCCAACAAAACATGTTCTTAAAAAGTCATGAATTGCACAAACCCATGTGCGTATGTGTATATATATATATATCACATTTCTGGTTGTCCATCATACATCTATGTACAGGTCAAATGAATCCCATTGTATCGGATTATGTCCAATTAATTCCAAGGATATCCCATTTACCATCTTATAACTCTAACTATATATATATATAGCTCTATAACTCAGTTTGATACGTGTAAATGTGTATATAATATTATATATATACACATATATTTGATAACTGTTTGATACATGCTTGATATCTCCGTCAACTCACCCCATCGGCGTCCTGCCAGGCTGATGAGTGGCCCCGTCTCCTCCAGCGCCATTCGCACCGCTGAGGCGTTGTCGAAGCCCTGCATGCGGCGCTCGTAGACGCGGGCGAACAGAAAGAGGTCGTAGTCCATGGCCAAAGCGAAGAGAAATCCACTGGTGGAATAGACCATGGTCCACTTCAAGCCACCTAGTGTTCATCGAAGATATCGAAGAATGATTTAGATATATTTGGATCATGGAAACATGTCAAAACTGCATGATTCAATGACACAGACATGGTTCACAGGAGGTACCGAAGAACAAAATGCTGGACTCCTGGACAATATCTGTAGTGGGTATCAACAGAACCAACACGCGTTGTCAAAAGCGCGCTCTTGTCCCGCCTGTGCTTGGAATGCCAGCCCATTCAAGCCAACCATGTTGGAAAACACCTACTGCAAATCCATACTCAGCGACGATGGGCAAAGCTACAGTGAAAACCTCAGTGGAGTCAGTGGAGTGGCTGAAGTGGCTGAAGCATGCTGAAGCAACTGGACCTACCAACATCACATCACCATTTTCAATCGCTCACTCCGCATCACGTATCTGGGGTGCCCTCACCATTTTCACGGCAACGAAATATGACTTGAACAATGCCGCCACCAATACACAAACGATGAGCATGGTGGTGCCCACGATCCAAGGACAGGCTTTCCTGTATTGCTGCTCCAAAAGCATGTCCTCTGCAACCGGCGTATATAATTTGGCAGAGAACAGTGCGTGGTTTCCGTTGCGTATGGCAACTTGGGGCTCAATCACCTTCCAAAAGTGATGGATCAGTTTCTGAACTTCCTCTCCCTGCAAATTGTTGATTTCTGGATATAGAAACATCCTCTCCTTCGTGCCATTCCGAGCCTGATACTTGCGAGCATCCGAATACTTTGGCTCTGTGGAGCAGAGACCGTTCATTGCATCCCAATCGATTCCCATAATGTCCTCAGCCGTGATTCCTGCAGCTTCGCAAACTGGATCCCCGGAAATGGTTTCGGCCACCACACAGGCTGCTTTGTGGAAGGCCTGACTGAAGCTTGATGAATCATCACTGAGTGACTCGTCAAGAAGAGTTAGATTCTTTTGGAGTCCATGACTGGCTTGCATAAACATGGTGAGTTCAGCAGGAAAATCGAATCTGTTCTTGACAATGTTGTAGGCTCTATACTCTGGCACACTTGATGAAAAGTCTGTGCGAGTGAAGTCGTAGTTTGGGCGAAGTCGCAAAATGTTGAGGATAAGCGGCACAAAGCAAACAAAGACCAGCGAGGTCGCAATGTAATTCCATGGTTTTGATGCTGCAATATAGCCCACAGGGCGAAAGACTTTCCCCTTGATCAAGCGAGTTATGCTTTTCAAGATGCTGGAACCCCCAGGGCTCTTTTCCTCTGGCTCATCGAAGATACTTGGCCAGATCATGACGAGAACTGTTGGTACAGTCAAGCTGTAAAACCCAACAAAGAAGGTTCCCAAGGCCAGATTCAAAGTTGCATAGAGGTAGCCCAACTTGTTCAAGTCAGGATAACAACTTGCACCGAGGAAGGCTACAATCAAGACTACACTGCTCAGTAGAATTACAAACCCAGAGGTCTGCAAGGTCTTCAGCAGGTCTCGACCAATGGCATGACTCGAATCATGACCTCCTATGGCTTGGCTATCGCGGCTATCGCCTTCCGCATCTCGGCGCCGGGATTCCAGCCTCTCTTGGGAAAAACGCACCCAGAAAAACAACGCATAGTCGAAGGAAAGTGCCAGTTGCACGAAAATGATTTGTGTGTCAGGACCAACCATATTCAAGTCCTTCCACAACATCTTCACAAGGACTATTGCGCATCTGGAGGCTTGCACACTACCAGCCAGGCACAAGAAAGGTGTTATGGCCCTTGGGACAGCGCCAACGCCCATGACAAGCAGAGCAGCCAAGAGTGGCGTACTAAATGACAAATGGCGCATTGTTTCCTCGTCACACTCATCGTAAGATGCATCCACCACTGAATGGGGGCCGGCCATAACCAAATTGAAACGTGCCTGCTGGGTGTTCAAGGTGTTCACATACTTCCGAATCGCATACAAGCATTCATTTCGATGGCCAAAGGATGATCTGACATGCATGTTGAGTCTCACCACCGCAGCATCATCGCTAGGAGCATAGTCCGGACTTGTCCAAGTCAACTTGTCACAGAACTTCTCTGTTGTCTGTAATTTGTATAGATGTTTCTCAACAACATCGTAGGTATCTAAGAAGTCTTGGTCACGGTTCAGAATCACCTCTGTTCGTCTCTTATGTGGGCTCCAGATCAATATGTAGTCGTAGAGCATGCCATCTTTAGTCTTAAAGTCGTTTTGCAGAGATTCTGCAACACTCTTCAATCTGGCCAGGGTCAAGTGGAACTTGAGGTGAGACTTCACATTTGCAAACGGGGGAACCCGAGTCTTACCACACATGAATTTAAGTGGCAAAACAGCTGTGCCTGGTGTTGTAGGGTCCCAAGTCAACAGAGTCCATTTTCATCACCTGAGGTGAAGAGTGGCCACTATCAATCGAAATCAGCAGCTAGTGTGGGTAAAACAATGTCATAAACCACCCATTGGGGAATGGTTTATACCACCTATTTATATTATTTATGGTGAAATTGGGGAATGATGGTTTACTATTGTTTTACCCAAATTAGAGTCACAACAATTCACACGTCGACAGCGCCAAGGTGCTGCATATGGAGCTGAAAGCCATGTAGTAATAAGGAATGCGTGAAGCAACAAGAGGCCGTTGCAATACGGTTTGGTGATGATAAAGTGGAATGCGCCAACCAAGGGCCTCAGAAGCTACATATAACAGTGTGTGTATATATATATATACATATGTGTAATTACATTACATATCATATCATATTTTACATCTACGACATGCATTGCATACTATAATATCATATAATATCTGTATATACCTCTATATGTATGTGTATATAGATATATAATTATATATATATATCCAAAAATATGATATTATTCAACTGCATTGCTCAGTCTTGTCCGATGTTGTTTGCAATTGATGAATCCATTGAATCTGTCAGAACTTGGCACCGGGCTTGCTGGTAATCAGCTCGGAATGGTGCCCTTCATCCTGTAGCCCTTCCATATCACCAGCCAGCGAACGCGCAAAGCCGAAACGGCTACACCATTTGGAACAGCCATCGAACCAAGGGTTCAAAAGCGCAAGAGAAGAATGCGATACAATGGCGATACAATGTGGCTATGGCTCAAAAATCATTGACCCCCCAAATCGAATGGTTTCAAAAAAAAACACACCCTGGGCATCCTATTGTTGAGTCAACGTTGTCGTTCCACTTTGTTGACACTCCGGATCTGGGCTCCAAGCCGAGCGAAGGGGCCGAGCATTGCCTTGCGAGTCGTGGACGTCCAGGACCAAGTCCATGACCTCAGAGTCAGTGCGATGGGACCTAGGGACCTCCATTGGCACCATAGCTAGCTTAGCTGGCTTAACCAGAAAAATAGGGGCTCAAGCCATAGATACAGATAATGCTGAGGTCTTAATAACTCCACCAAGCCATATGGTCCCATCCCTGCAGATCTCCGCACGTTGTGATACTACCAGCGAGCCTGAGGTGTAATCATCAGCACACTGACCTGTTGAATCATCAAAAGGTCTGAAAATATCCAGATTTTGAGGGGAAAAAAACACAGGGAAAAAAAGCTCAAGTAAGGCGAAAATTAAAAAAGAACAGTTGGTTGGAAAGTCTGATAGTTGAGCGAAAGCTTCTATGGTTTCCATCAGTAGCACTGCTGCACGTCTCCCACAACTCTTCCTTGCACAAACACAGACATCTGCACCTCCTCTGCTGCAATGGTATTGGCTAAATATTCTGGACCTTGTGTGAGCAAATGATTCAAGCAACGTCCAAGCAACTGCAATAATTCTGAAAGGAATGAAGGCCAAAAAACTTCAAGCCGCTAGCTGTCCAGCAATTTATGTATGACTCACAAAGTGCTTGGCGGTTGCTTCAGCGCCTGGCTCTTGTGACCATTGGCCGAAGCCACAACCAGCTTGGCACCTTGGCTGCACCGAATACAACAGCACAGATGCAAAGGCCTCGGCGGAAAATTCGTCGCGCCCCGTGCCCAGTGACCTCGTGTCAAGGCGGGGAACATCTCCCATTCCTAAGTCAGGCAAGCGCAAAACTGTCTACTGAACAGGTGGACACAGCCGGATCTGATGTGAATGTTAGTACAACTGTGAAGTTTTGCCTCGACCTATATAATCTGATGTTTGAAATGGAAGATCGCACCCACAATACGGGCATGTGCAGTGTGAAAAAAACCTGCGAGCATGTGAGCTTTGCTGCTCTTCTGGTTTACAAGCTTGGATTTTGTGGCAACCAAGCAGCTATGATCGCCCAAAAGTACCTGGCTGTTCATGCCAGGTATCCTATGGTCTTGAAACTGAAAACTTCTTCCAGTAGTGTTTCAAATTCACAGCACTGCCTTTCTGACGACATGACAAATCTGTCCTAACACAAAATGTTACGAGTTGCCTTGTTCAAACAGGTAATGGTCGCGGAGATCGTACGAGTATCAGCATGAGTGACTGACGAGACGTCACACCTTGACTCAAAAATGGCCTTCTGCTTTGGTCTCTGGTTGCAATCCGGGTTTCTTCTGTTTCTTGTGCTTCTGAAATTGTTACTATATCCATCAAATAAACCCCAGTCTTGTCCGCTGTGGCAGCGCCAACTGCTGTCTTTCCCAGGGCGGACGGAGACTTCAGCAAGGCCACAGAACTGGAGGTCATTTCACCTGAAGCCACAGAATCACATGAAGCACGCGGAAAGTCACCCAAAGTGAACAAGCGTTGGAAGCAAAATGAAAAATGATTCACTGTGTCCAATATGTCATGTCTATAACCTCTGCCTCTGCAATTCAGAAATAAGCGCTGAAAGGGGTCCGAGATAATTGTTTTTTGGAACTTTGCTGTGTGTTATGCACCTTTATACATGTGGAGATTACTGACGGAGAAAACTCAATTCTTCAATGGTGGAATAACAAACAACAAAATTCTATAGTCAGTCAGCAAACATGGAGAATGACTCAATTGAAAAGGCAACATCACCAGTCAGCGGTATACAACATGCATGTATTGCATACCTGCAATTTCATGCAAATTCAATCATAGTTGCTGACACCATCATCCACGATCAAATCTATCCTTGCTTGCCGCCAACTCGCATTGCTCTCCAAAGAAATGGACGCCATGCATCAAGTGTGCGTGGTCATACACAATGCCCTGCAGTATCACACAAACTTGTCTAGCACTGCGAATGACTTCCCAGAAGCATCTTCTAATTCCAGGTGGGTTCAAAGATTGGATCATACTGATCCCCATTAGACCATGTTTCTCCATCAACAACAAAAGTTGAATGAAATGTGCTTTGCTCAAAGACCATCATAAAAATGGCTTCAAGTGGCTCTAAAATGGCTCGGCTCTGGCCTTTGGAGCTCCTGTTGTGCCGGAAGTGTAGATCAGCAGGGCCATATCATCTGCCTTCGACTTCAACATGTGAGCAGAGCAGGTGATCCTTTCCCAAAGTGCCTCTGGACGCCGATATGCCGCGGCTTTGCCACCTGCTGATACCATCGAGCTGATCAGCTGAAAAATCATCAGCCCGATTTGAACATTGACTGACCTCTACTGTTTTCATCTGGCTCTACTGACTCTACTGTTTTCATCTGTTTTCCCGTCTCTCTGTGGAAGCTGTCTTTGCGGCGGTCTTTGCTTGAGTCACAGCACCGTGGTGCGCTAACAGAAATTGGTGATGCACTTGGCAATTCCTGCTCAGTTCCCTGACCCCTGGAGCAATATCGAGTTTCAAACATCTTGTTTTGAATCAGTCTGGCCTCGTTTTGACTCCAAAACAAGTAGTACCATAGTACAGTAATTGAAAAGAAGCCTGCCCTACGGCTCTGTGCAACTCGGCCTGCAGCAGTGACCTCAAGTTCATCTCTCTCTGAGAAGGAGTGTGTGCGGGAGCGTTGCCGCCGCCTCAGAAACAACAAAAAGAGTCTAGGCGTTTCCCTGCGTTGGATGAACTATCAGATCTATCATGTCATCCAAAATATATCAAAATATACTATACAAACGTTACAAAACTATACATAATGTCTGTCTTCCAGCAAACTAGGTCTCAGAGACTCTTGAAACTTTTGGGGAGACGAATTTCTCGAAGTGTCAATAAGCAGGACACAACTGAACACCGCTGGAGAAGCCTCGAGCGCCTAAAAGTGTGAAGTGGCTGGTTGCTCAGGCACCGGCTGAAGCTTCAAAGCATTCCCGCCATTTGCCGGCAACGACAGAAAGTGGCAGCCCATCTGACAATAGCAATACAGTAGTGGTCAAGAGGCAGTTGTTTTTCTTGACATCTCAGGTGTTTTTCCAATTCAACTATATGAAGGCCACACTAATCTACTTGGTGGTCATCTCAAACAAGTTCATGAAGATCACCCCCTTCAATCATAGCACAGCTGGATTCCGGGGCACCTCAACTGCGACATCATGGGCAGTCTGATCTCCTCAATGCAAGGAGATCTTGTGGCAAATCCATGTAAATCCAAGAATAAACATGAACCATACACATGTCTTTTATATGTTTTTCCATTTGGATCCATTTGGAGGGTTATTGATGTTATTGGCCCTTGGGTTCAGCATTGGGCTTAGCAGCTTACCACACTACATCCCAGTCCCAGCACCTGAGACAGCAATCAGTGCGGCTGCTTCACTCTCATGGAGCAAGAACGTCTTCCGCGCTAAAGGGGCATCCTGAAAGTTCTGGCGAAGATAGCAGGCCAGGGTGCCAGTGGTTTTGATCCGCTCTTGGAAGATGTGTTCGCTCATTTGTGTTGCGAAAAGAGATTCAAGAGTCAAAACTCCTCACAGAACAAATGGCCTACTGAACTCGATTTGTTTATAGGTCTCCAGAATCAGCAACTACAAGCGATCTGACATCTGAGGTTTCAACATTGTCAATTGGGAGGAAGGCTGCACCAGCCTAGTAACTTTGTACATTCAGTGGTCACGGTAGTCGCCAAGAGCCACTACCAGGGCCTTCAAGGTGCCAAAGACTGCGATCACTTGCGCTACACATCGGTCCATCATGAGGCCCACAACCTCAGAAGTGAAAACAGCGAGAACACAAATCCTACAATATTTAATCTGAATTAATGATGTTTATATAATATGATGTTGTATGTTTGTTTTTGGTCTGTTTTAGCCTTTTTCACAGTCGCGTCATGATGCACCATGCAGCTCAGACTCACACAGCATCGCAGGAAATTCCCAATGACACGAGGCATTCTGATACCTTAGCAGGCGAACGCGTGTCATCGAACTGATAAACGAAACTGAGGCACTGAGGCACAGGAAAAACGAAAAAGTGCATTTAAGTGCTGAACCTCGTCCACATAGGCTCCAAGCTCTTTGTAGGAAATTTCCTGCTGACTCGTGTACTAGTCGTTTCACTTGCAAAGCTTATCCAATGAACCATTTGAGGGAATTAGAACTTGCAATGTCCTTCGAACTTCTACCAGCATCAGGCACCTCAGTTTAGGAGCACAACATAGAGTCCAAAAGCGCAATCTCGAACCTTTGAGAAGCACCACGAGATCTACTGAGGATCGTACAACTAAAGCAATGGCCGATGGATTGTTCTGCCAAAGAAAATTCTGAATATCGATGAATATCGTATGATATCGTATGTAAATGGTTGAGTTTTCAGACATGTTCCACTCTCGTTGTCAATCCGACGTAGATCCTGCCGGAGTCCTGCCGGAGTCCTGCCGGAGTCCTGCCGGAGTCCTGCCGGAGTCCTGCCTTGACTTGGTCGTCGAAGAGCTCAATGACTCTCCTTTCCGTCATGGCACGTGTCTGGTAAGCACACGACAAATCACACTTGTACAATTGTCATTTGCCAATAGGCCCAATAGGCCCAATAGGCATTCGCAAGAGGAAATCAACCCAGCATAAGACTCAATAATAGAACTTTTGATCGCGCTTGCTTTGTCGCATCTTCCGAATGCCTAAGTGGATGAGTCGCTGGCCTACACCATCGCCCATGCCTTCTTTTGGGCAAGGCTTCTGGTTTCATGGATGATTCTCCATGATTTCATGATTCGACGTGTTCATTATCCAGAAATATCCCACATCAAGGATTGCCCAGGATGAAATCGGGTAGACGCAGCGGCTTCCCGTTGAGGAGGCTTGGGACTGGTCCCAGGAGGCCCATTGGCGGCCGGAGCTCATGGGGATAGCCTCGCCGCCCTGCACCCACTGGTCCCACTGGTCCCACCGGTCCCACCTGGTCAGGGCGAGCACAGCTTCCACTCTCATGGTTCTCATGGTTCCGTGAGTCACTCGTTCCTGACTCAATTCAACATAATTCAACTCAGTGCTGGTTGTCTTGTTGCGTCTTGCTGTGTCTTGGAATTGAATGGGTGAAATTGTCTCACAAATAAGCTGCTCCCGGCACTGAAAGCACCGAAACCCTATCCTTCTCCTCGTTCAGCTTCTGACAATTGTCTGACAAGGACTCCCAGCTCTCTGATGGAGAGTAGTTGATCCCCAACAAGCAGTTGATCTCATCTGCCAACTCTATGAACTGTGGATCCTGCCAAGCATCAACATCCATTGTATTCATCGATCTTAAATGGTGCACACACCGTTTCATCATGGATAGGTTCCAGAGTGAGTCCTTGATGTACGGCTTCATGTCGCCCATCATTTTGTAGACTCCATTTGAGCTACCCTCGTATCCGTATCTTGGCAGGACTTCGCTCTGAACTGTGAGGAAGAGCTTCTGCCTGCAAAACAAGAACATGTGTGTCTACATCTATATATATATATATACATCTATACAGAAATAATGATTTGTTATATTTACAGAAATATGTTCATTACTTGATTTTAAACTTGATTTATTCATGACCTGAGAAGGGGGGAACGAAAGCCAGCATCCCATCTATCCCTATGTACCCAAATATTTTTCACCCAGAGACTCTTCACCCAGAAACCCTCCTTGCACATACTTTTCACCCATATACTTTTCACCCAGAGACTCTTCACCCAGAAACTCTTATTGCACAGACTCTTCACCCAGAAACTCTTCTTGCACATACTTTTCACCCATATACTTTTCACACAGAGACTCTTCACCCAGAAACTCTTCTTGCACATACTTTTCACCCATATACTTTTCACTCAGAGACTCTTCACCCAGAAACCCTTCTGGCACATACTTTTCACCCATATACTTTTCACCCAGAGCCTCTTCTTGCACATACTTTTCACCCATATACTTTTTACCCAGAGACTCATCACCCAAAAACTCTTCTTGCAAATACTTTTCACCCATATACACCCAAAAACTCGTATTACACATACTTTTCACCCATATACTTTTCACCCAGAGACTCTTCACCCAGAAACTCTTCTTGCACATACTTTTCACCAATATACTTTTCACCCAGAGACTCTTCACCCAGAAACTCTTCTTGCATAGATTTTTCACCCAGAGACTCTTTACCCAGAAACTCTTCTTGCACATACTTTTCACCCATATACTTTTCACCCAGAGATTCTTCACCCAGAAACTCTTCTTGCACATACTTTTCACCCATATACTTTTCACCCACAGACTCTTCACCCAGAAACCCTTCTTGCACATACTTTTCACCCATATTTTTCTATATTTTTCACCCAGAGAGACTCTTCACCCAGAAACTCTTCTTGCACATACGTTTCACCCATATACTTTTCACCCAGAGATTCTCACAAAGAAACTCTTCTTGCACTTTTCATCAGAAACTCTTCACCAGAAACTCTTCTTGCACATACTTTTCACCCATATACACTCTCTTCACCAAGACACTCTTTTTCCCAGAGACATACTTCACCCATCCTCACTCTTCTTGCACCCCCATTTCATCCATCATTCTTCTTGCACACATACTTTCACCAGATCTTCACTTTCTTGCACATACTTTTCACCCATATACTTTTCAGACTACCCAGAAACTCTTCTTGCACATCAGAGAACTCTTCTCTGCTCTTCTTGCACATACTTTTCACCCATATACTTTTCAGAAACTCTTCTTGCACATACTTTTCACCCATATGCTTTTCACCCAGAGACTCTTCACCCAGAAACTCTTCTTGCACATAGTTTTCACCCATATACTTTTCACCCAGAGACACTTCACCCAGAAACTCTTCTTGCACATACTTTTCACCAATATACTTTTCACCCAGAGACTCTTCACCCAGAAACTCTTCTTGCACATACTTTTCACCCATAAATTTTTCACCCACAAACTCTTCACCAAGAAATTCTTCTTGCACATACTTTTCACCCAGAAACTCTTCTTGCACATACTTTTCACCCATATACTTTTGATCCGGAGATTCTGCACCCAGAGACTCTTCTTGCACATGCTTTTCACCCATGTACTTTTCACCCATAGACTCTTCACCAAGAAACTCTTCGTGCACATACTTTTCACCCATATACCCTATTTTTCACCCAGAGACTCTTCTTGCATACTTTTCACCAGACTTTTCACCCAGAGACTCTTCTCAGAAAACTCTTCTTGCAACATACTTTTCACCCTAATACACTTTTCACCCAGAGACGCTTCACCAGAAACTTCGTGCACTACTCACCACCCATTAATTTTCCCACATAATTTTTTTCTTGACAAACCCCTTCTTGCACATATTTTTTTCATCCATATACTTTCATCTAGAGACTCTCACCCAGAAAACTCTTCTTGCATATACTTTTCCCAGATACTTTTCATCCAGAGACTTCACCGAAACTCTTCTTTAGATGTTTACACATATACATACTTTTCACCAATATCTTTTCACCAGAAAGAAAAATCTCTTGCACTACTTTTCACCCAGAAGAAAACACATCTTTTTACCCATGCTTCTTGCACATCTTCACCAAAACTCTTCTGCATATATTTCACCCAGCTCTTCTCACCCAGAAACTCTTGACTCTTCACCCAGAAACTCTTCTTGCACATAGTTTTCACCCATATACTTTTCACCCAGAGACACTTCACCCAGAAACTCTTCTTGCACATACTTTTCACCAATATACTTTTCACCCAGAGACTCTTCACCCAGAAACTCTTCTTGCACATACTTTTCACCCATAAATTTTTCACCCACAAACTCTTCACCAAGAAATTCTTCTTGCACATACTTTTCACCCAGAAACTCTTCTTGCACATACTTTTCACCCATATACTTTTGATCCGGAGATTCTGCACCCAGAGACTCTTCTTGCACATGCTTTTCACCCATGTACTTTTCACCCATAGACTCTTCACCAAGAAACTCTTCGTGCACATACTTTTCACCCATATACTTTTCACCCAGAGACTCTTCACCCAGAAACTCTTCTTGCACATACTTTTCACCAATATACTTTTCACCCATAGACTCCTCACCCAGAAACTCTTCTTGCACATACTTTTCACCCATATACTTTTCACCCAGAGACTCTTCATCCAGAAACTCTTTTCACCCAGAAACTCTTCTTGCACATACTTTTCACCCATATACTTTTCATCCAGAGACTCTTCACCCAGAAACTCTTCTCGCACATACTTTTCACCCAGAGACTCTTCACCCAGAAACTCTTCGTGCACATACTCTTCACCCATATAATTTTCTTTCACATATTTTTCACCCATATACTTTTCAACCAGAGACTCTTCACCCAGAAACTCTTCTTGCACAGATATTTCACCCATATACTTTTCACCCAGAGACTCTTCATCCAGAAACTCTTCTTGTACATAGTTTTCACCCAGAGACTCTTCACCCAGAAACTCTTCTTGCACATACTTTTCACCAATATACTTTTCACCCAGAGACTCTTCACCCAGAAACTCTTATTGCACATACTTTTCACCCATAAACTTTTCACCCACAGACTCTTCACCCAGAAACTCTTCTTGCACATACTTTTCACCCATATACTTTTCACCCAGAGACTCTTCACCCAGAGACTCTTCACCCAGAAACTCTTCTTGCACAGACATTTCACCCATATACTTTTCACCCAGAGACTCTTCTTGCACATACGTTTCAAGCATATACTTTTCACCCAGAGACTCTTCACCCAGAAGCTCTTCTTTCACATACTTTTCACCAATATACTTTTCACCTAGAGACTCTTCACCCAGAAACTCTTCTTGCACATACTTTTCACCCATATACTTTTCACCCAGAGACTCTTCACTCAGAAACTCTTCTTGCACATACTTTTCACTCATATACTTTTCACCCAGAGACTCTTCTTGCACATACTTTTCACCCATATACTTTTCACCCAGAGACTCTTCACCCAGAAACTCTTCTTGCACGTGCTTGTGACCCATATACTTTTCACCCAGAAACTCTTTTTGCACAGATTTTTCACCCAGAGACTCTTCACCCAGAGACTCTTCACCCAGAAACTCTTCTTGCACATACTTTTCACCCATATACTTTTTACTCAGAGACTATTCACCCAGAAACTCTTCTTGCACATACTTTTCACTCATATACTTTTCACCCAGAGACTCTTCACCCAGAAACTCTTTTTGCACATACTTTTCACCCATATACTTTTCACCCAGAGACTCTTCACCCAGAAACTCTTCTTGCACATACTTTTCACCAATATACTTTTCACCCAGAGACTCTTTTTGCACATACCTTTCACCCATATACTTTTCACCCAGAGACTCTTCACCCAGAAACTCTTCTTGCACATACTTTTCACCCATATACTTTTCACCCAGGGACTCTTCACCCAGAAACTCTTCTTGCACATACTTTTCACCCATATACTTTTCACCCAGAGACTCTTCACCCAGAAACTCTTCTTGCACATACTTTTCACCCATATACTTTTCACCCAGAGACTCTTCACCCAGAAACTCTTCTTGCACATACTTTTCACCCATATACTTTTCACCCAACACTCTTCACCCAGAATCTCTTCTTGCACAGACTTTTCACCCAGAGACTCTTCACCCAGAAACTCTTCTTGCACATACTTTTCACCCATATACTTTTCACCCAGAGACTCTTCACCCAGAAACTCTTCTTGCACAGACTTTTCACCCAAAGACTCTTCACCCGGGAACTTTTCTTGCACAGACTTTTCACCCATATACTTTTCACCCAGAGACTCTTCACCCAGAAACCCTTCTTGCACATACTTTTCACCCAATGTCCTTCTCTCTCCAATCTCCTCTAACTAGCTGGCCCATCTATCTGTCCATTGACTGAGCCCAGAAAACCCCAGAAAACCGGACCTAGGGGGAATCGATACCCACCGTCACTGTTTTGCCGCCTGGTACATTACCCTGCAAAACCATACTTTTAAAACACCACCTATTTCCGCCATTTTTGACCCGTTTGGCAACTACCCCCCCCCCCCAAACCCCCTATTCTCACTTCGTTCGCAAATAACAACTAGCCAGCTTCCCGGCTGGCTTTCGTAATATCTTAAATAATATTGCAATGTGTTCTATGTGAGTAGGATCGAAGTTCGAACATTGGACATTCGGGGCTCCGGTGTGGTTCGCCAGAAAACTACAGGGCATGTGAGTGCTGAGGCCAACAAGATCAATCAGTTCATCAGCGATGCAAACTTTACTCCGTCCTACCCTGCCTCTCAGCAAGGAACTTTGTCTTCGCAAGCTCTCTTCGCTCGCATTGCTCTTGCAGTTGTCGCAGCTTTTCCTCTCAGTGCCCGGCGCTCTCAGAGTGAGAGACCAGGCAACAGCCAATCCGGTGGATACATAGGCCACAAGCAGCAGAAGCTAAGTGCACAAACCATGCATCTAAACATCGTGAACTCTATTATGACCTGACGTATGTTGTATTTCCTAAATTCTTTCTTAACTATGATGTTGATCCAGTTGATCCAGTTGATCCATGCTTTGCTGAAGCCTTTCCTGAAAGCTCTCATCAGCGAAGCCCGCTTTGAGCTCCTTCTGCAGAATCAGAAAGCCATCCAGAGATGCTGGTCGGACCACCTCAGTGAGGTCCTGGCAGTCCTGGAGGCGTCCATGCTCAGTTTGGGATGATTTCTTGAAATTTCTTGTCCCAAATTTCCATGATTTCTTGGGTTGATTCTTCTCCAAAATGGAGGAAACCGAAATCAGACATCGGATTCAGCTGACCGAGGCAAGTCCTTCAAATCCTCTTCAGCCACATGGATCTCCAACCCATTTTCTGGCGGCTCCCCGTCAAATCCGGCAAGCAGTACCTCTCGAGTGGACCCGATGGCATCCTTGTCTTTGTAGGGCCGATAGACACCACCTCTGCGCTCCACTCAGAATTGCTGAGGACAAAATCACGAAAACGGCATGTCAAAGGACAGGAGAATTGACGCGCTGGATTTGATTTCCAGCAGGGAAACAGTCAAACGATCAACATTAAAACATAAAACGTTCTGGAAACAAACAACTCCGAATTTTCACATTGGCCACGCTGAACTATGAGCCGATCCAGCCTTCTTTATGCATCAGCTGCCCTGAGAAAGAAGAAACTTTGCTGTCCTGCGCACTTCTCAGGAAAGAATATCAAAATCAGAACGTGTAAAGAACCAGTGTCCCACGGTTTAACTGTGGCAAAAGAGTCGGTGTCAATCTTGGTCCTGAAGAAAATATGTGGCTAGTGAATGTCTCAAATCTTTGAAGAGGGCTTTCTCTGGCAAGAACACTGCTATAGTCCAGCCGTGTATCGCATGAGAAACCTTGACGCAGGTCTCCAGCGATGGTTTGGATGGTTCAGAGCCATGGGTTTTGACCGCGGCTTCACTCAGTTGATGAACTTCCTGTGGTTGCAGTTGCTGCTTCGCTTCGCTTTCTTCTCCTAGGGCCCAAAAGAATAACGTTTTTAAAGGAAGAGCTACAGCAACTACCAGTGGCACTCCTGACACCTCTGGGAGGATTGGGTCAGTCACTGGTCATTTTTGTGTGTTTCTCTGTTGCAAATAGACAGCACAGCTGTTGCTCTTTCATGATACCACATTGAAGTCGAGTACTCTGGGCAGGTCATTTGCTGCTTTGCCAAATGCACACAGCAAAAGAAGTGCACGAGTACAGGAAGCACGAGACAAATAAAGTATAATAAAGTAATGGTCAAGTCTGACCAAGGATGAATAAGCCAGGCAAAAAAAGCCAAGGCTCCTGAAAGTTCATCGAAATCGAACATCGAGCAAAATCTCTACAGCCAGGCACAATCTGGCAACATTGACAAGAAAATGGCTTCGTTCATGCATGGTCATCAAATCAGAGCTTGAGGAAGACCCTCTTTTAAAACCAACAAACTATTTTGAAATTTACAGTGCGATGCTACTTCCTCGGTGCCTGTGAATGTTACTATCTTGGAAGACCTGTTCCTCCTTGGTCCACTGGGTTGTCGGACAATTGCATTGGTTCATTGCCGAACGCAACAACAGCATACTAAGACAATGAAAGGACTTACGGAGGAACTTCCATGATTGCTATGTTGTAGAAAATGGACGAACATTTGAGAAGTGTCGAGAACCTATTGAAAAGCCCCCTCTAATAGTTGGCTAATGGGGGTTCCCATAGTGGATTTAGAATTTATGATCAAAACTGCTCGCTTGACCTGGTGCTGGAAGCGCAGTCCTGTCTGATGGATATTGCGGTTTTGGCCTTGTCACATGCGAACTCCAGACACGTAGGCGACACTGCACTCAGAAAGGCAACTCAGTCAAAGGCCCCACAGCCAAATCGACAGAACCGCAAAGCTGAGAAGCCTCAAAGAAGCAAAACTGAATTTCACCTGTGAAGGTCTGCCAAACGGGTAGAAATTCACCGAAATTCGGAAAGAATGAGCCCAAAAATGTAGCCTCCACAAGCGGAGAAGCTGTGTCCCCTATCGGACGCACAACCTCAGTCCCAGTATGTTCGATCAAGACATGCATTGTCAATGGCCACATTGGCTACGCAAATCAAATACAACAACAACCACCACCACCACAACAACAACAACAACGACAACAACAAACACAACAAACACAACACAAAAATAAACACAAACACAAACACAAACCAACAACCAACAAGCAACAACCAACATCCAACATCCAACAACCAGCTACCACCAACCACAACCACAACAACAACAACAACAGCAAAAACAATAACAATAACAAAAACAGTCCCAATTTTTGGGCAATGTTGCAAAATCCAGTTTTTTTCACGTGGGTGAACAAATCAACAATAATTATGAGTAGGCATTTTGATACAAAAACTTGTTTACAAACCCTGTTGATGGACAATTCTGCACCACAATTCCGCACCAAATATTTAAAATGTCTAGGACCCACTTCGCGTGGATGGGTGAAGAGGTTCCACTATGTTCCACTTGTTTCTATCATTTTCTATCTGGTTTCGGAGTTGCAGGAGGTGCAATTGGAACGCAAGTTGCACGTGCCCTGGTTGTCCTGCCGAGTCAATGACCCGTTGCGAGAAAAAATGGCGTCTCACGGTGCTCCATGTACGTGAAATGTGGGGCCTTGAAAGTGGACAAAACTGGGCAAGGTCTCAAACTGTCGGCAAAACAATGAACAATGCTCTGTAAAATTTTAAGCAAAGTTTTTAATGTTTCATTGGGGCTAATGAAACAAAACATACAAGTTAAACACAAGGTCACTCTACAGTGTCACAAAACAAGGAAGCAAACTTAGGTGCCAACCAGAATCGCACAATCAAACAAATTGTGGCCCAAAACCTGGAACAATATAGCAATGTCTAAGCATCCATCTCAATTTAGACCGATCAATGAACCAACAATGTCAACTGAGGCATGGACAAAGCATACACAAAAAGAAACAGCGTCTTGTCCCATCCTGAGACATTGATTTTGTTGGTTGCAATCCTGACAGCAACGTTCAAAACTGTTTCCGGAGAGTGCCTGTCCATGCGGTATTTGGATCGCGCCAATCCTCTCAATTCACAAACAGGTTGTTGTGATTTTTCGTCAAACATGCCATGCCAATGTCCTCTGCAAATGGGAATTCGCCTTTGGGTGGAACATGTCCATCAGACCTTGTTCAAAAAAAACTGATTTGGAGACAGGAAATGAAACAGGGTCACTTGACAACAACAAACCCATTGGGTCACCGCCTGCTCCAGAACAGCGTTGGAGGCTGCCAAGGGCGCTGAAACGCCAAAGCCATCTTGACCAAATGATACCAAAGATATGTGTATTTATGTGTATATAATTAAATACTATATATATATATATATCGTCAGACTGTGAGCTGGTAAAAATGATCAACAACATCATGTTTTTGGATTGAAAACCACAAGACTGCAAGGAAAATTTGTTGCCGTTTACTTGCAGGAGTGACATGTAATTAGGCACTGATAATGCAAGAAAAACTCCGGTGTCACAACTACACAAATAATTGAACTGAGAACTGCGGCGCTAACATCCACGGTTATGGCGCTCATGTAGGTCAACTCCCCAATCCGCGGGGCCCAAACATCCCCGTGTGTTGCTCCTTGGGGCGGGGGTCCAACCCCTGAAATAGTAGTCTCCACTGGCTGTTTTCCAGCGGGCCTGACCCCGCCATGCCCCTTTTGAGCATTTCTGAATGGATAAAATCTAGGGGCCCAAGTATAGCATTTGTAAACCAAACATTTTTGCTAACACTCAACTTGGACAAGGGTACCCATACTTTGGAGCATTTTGGACGTTCAAAAATGATCAAAGGTCAGGCCCCTCAAAATATTTTGGGAATGTTGTGAATATTTAGGACATACATTTTTTATCTGTGAATCTCATGCAACCATGGACCTCCTGGATTTTAGCCATCGTTTTTTTCTTCCCTGCATGCCACAGATAAGCTGGCCACTTTGAAAGGTTCTCAACAGAGATAAAGTTGACAAACATGTCACAACTAATTTTCAAAAAAAAACAGTTTTTGCACACCTTTAATGCCTGTTTTTTTAATTAGAGATATTCATCTATCAAGGTTAGCGGATACAGATGTTATTTTCAGGTTTTCCCTCCAAGTTTCAAGAGCAAAGATTGGACAAGGTGAGATGTTGGTTTCCAGGATTTAGTAGCCTTTTTTTTGGAATCAATTTCAGTGTTTGTCCTTGATGTGCAGGTTAAACAAATGGATTTCAGTGAGGAAAATTTGTTCTGGATATAATTTGTTTTTAAACAAATATGATATATAAATTAAAGGTTAAACATTTCAGAACCGTCCCAAGTAAATAAACTTAGTGCAAGTTGTTTTGATGCTGACTTGCAGAGGGGTTGATATCTCAAGGTTGGGGACACAGGTTTTATTTCCTGTATTTCTAGCCTACCACCCCTCTAAGTCCAAGCAGCTATCCCGGAGCTGAAAGTGGACCGGGTGAGACGTTGGTATCCAGGATTTGGCTGCGTGTTTTTTGGATCAATTTCAATAAATATCAACAAAAAATGGATTTCAAGAGGAGATAGTATTGACATGGTTTCCGTTTCCGTGGTGCGAAAGCTGATAAACATGTCACACGTTTCCCAAGAAAAAAATGTGCACCTGTGGTTGATGCCAGTTTTGCAGAGGGGTTCATCTATCAAGGTTGGGGACATAGATTTTATTTCTTTTTGGTTTTTCCTCCAAGCTTCGCCCCGCTTGGTCGAAGCAGCTATCCGGGAACAGAAGAAGCACAGGATTTGGCAGCCTTTTTGTTTGGGTCAAATTCAATATCTTGACATATCTTGACCTGAAAGTTCAAAAACAATAAGATTTCAAGGTGGGGAAATATGTAACGGTGAATTTGATAAATATTGCAGCAATGTTCAACAAAATAAATTTCATGCACCTTACAGTTTGACGCCAATTTTGCAGGGGATTTCATCAACTTCATCAATCAAGGTTGTTGTTCCTTCCTATCCAATCAAAGGTGTAGGTTGGACCTAAATTGAAGGGGGGGCTGACATCGGAAAATAAGATAGGCACCAAGCCTCAAGTAGGACAAAAATAAAATTCAAAACCCCAACCTTCCAAAGATAAAATCAACGGGCTTGACCTGAAATTGGAATGAGATAAAATCCAAGGGCTGGATCCCCCCTTGGGTCCTCTTTGGAAGCGAGTACCCTTGAAGTGACCTATGCGACTTCTTGCAAATTGATCCCAAGATGCCCAAACTGAAAAATCCTTTAGAGCAAAAAGTGCAGGTTTTGTTTGGAGAAGTGGTAGGTGTTTGCCTCAACATAAATCGCGTGTTCTTGTGGGTCGCTCGAGATAGTACCGTGATTCGACGGGGTTCAGCCATACTTGGTCTCTTAGGGAAAGGCCATGGCCTCTGGGAGGGTCTTCCAGAGCCCATTTTCCAACTGCTGCCACGCTGCTTGGCACTGGCATTCCTTGCGCTGGGATTCAAAACGGCTCGCAGTTGTGCTGGATGGGGATGACGTTTGGGATACCCGTTGCTTCATCAAAGCACAAAGGGGCTGTAAGACCGCGCCATTGGGCAGCGCGTTTTGGTTACAGGATATCCGATCTTGCAAACACGGTTGTGATTCAAAAGTTGACCAATCTGTCAGATTTTGCAACTGAACAGGGGACTCACTGCCATCGGTTTGCCATGGCGAACTTGACGACAGCCTGACTTGCCACAGTGGAAATGCATTGGGGCGAAAGTGGCGGTTTACACCTGAAACTGCCCTGGGTTTCTAACGGGGAGCAGCTCTTTCTCCTCCTGGCCAGGCACATCATTGGAAAACTGTGGCCCTTCGCATCGACCAGTTGAAATTTGCCTGCGCAACGCGGCGCTTTCGTCGGAGTTCTCCTCTCAGAATCTGAACCTAGCAATGGGAATAGCTGGGACAACCACAAAAATGCATAACCACAGTGCTATCAGCTGATGGAAACTTGGGACAGGGCCTCCATTTGCAATTGGTTGAATTTGGGCGTGTGAGCTGTGACATATGTACCTGACGTCCTTAGTGAAGCACAGGGCATTGCATTCTGACTGACTTACCTTTTTATCCAAAACATTGCAAAAAAATGAAATTCAGTCCAACCCTGTCCACATGCGTCCACAGACATCAAAAAAAACTCAAACTGACATGTACAAGTTGACATCAAGCAAAAAATGTGTTCCACATGACTGCAGTGTTTCGGTGTTTCGCGTTTGCCAGTGCTTCACGAACAAAAAACGATGTTTCACATAACTGCAGTG